ACCGGAAACGGAAATGAAAATTAAGTCATCATGTCAACCTGTCAATTGGAAAGTTAGTTCTCCAGACGACAACGAAGGCTTTCGGTGGCGTATCGTGTTTCCACGATTTAACACAGAGTTGACACTTCTTTCTAGTTAATTATTTTATGGACGCATCTGCTGTATAAATACAAGGAGAACGGTAGTTTATATCGAAATGAGATTTTGGCAGGATATGTAGGTTAACTGAAAAATTTTTATAAAAATATATAGAATTATACAGGGTGTCCCCAAAAAAAGTTACACATCAAAGTTGTGTCTTTTCTAATGGAACACCCTATAAATTAATTGATTTTTGGATTCTAGAAAAAAATAAAGGTGAGTTTTATTAATGAAGCATATACCTAAAATCTAAGGATTTTGACATATTTCACATTTTGTGAAAATGAAGAGTAAATTTTAAATTTCGATAATAGCTAACTAAATTTACGTTCACTTTGTATAGCCTGGTATTTAATTACAGTAACCATTGTATGTTAAACCAAATTAAAATTTGCCCCGAAATGTTATACAGGGTTATACAGACAAAATTAATATGGAACATTAGTCACTTTTAAAAGCAAGTTACTCCTTTATTTTAAATGGAACACCCAGTATATTTTTCTGGTGTTCAATGGGGAATTTATATATCTTGAAAATATTATTAAACTTGCCTACCCCTCAGACAAAGATTTTTATAAATGTTTTAATTTTTATGATTTTGCGTCAGTAGATCTTTATTATTTGAAAAATCTAGGGTGGCTGAGTGATATACCTTTTGTTAATTTAACAAAAATTTAAGATTACATAGTAAAATACTCAACGGTAATAAAAAGATACACGTTTAAAACATATTTTATTTTTTTCAGAATTAAAACTAGATATAAACCTATAATATGTGACAAAAATTACATAGATGAAATCAAACGCTCAAAATGCTTTCTTTCCTGTTAACTGCATAAAATAATTGTCTTTTCAAAAGGATCTTTTCATTTTAAAAGGCATATGTGGAGTTCTACCTCGAAAAGCAGCTATAATGATTTCTCTCATGTTGTCGACAATAGTTGGTCGAGTTTTGTAAACACAGTATTTAACATATCCCCATTAAAAAACCCAGACTAGATAAAATCAGGAGCATTCAGGTATTCTATTAATTGGTGAATGTACAGTGCCATTCAGCAATTAATAGAATCATATCATTTCTCTCTGAAGTAGGATAAGTTTGCATTTTTGGCAAATTTCTGAGCATTTTTTTTTGTTTTAACTGACACAAAATGATAACTAGTTAATCGGAATAATATACTGGGTATTCCATTTAAAATAAAAGAGTAACATGCTTTTAAAGGTGACCAATGTTCAATATTAATTTTGTCTCACCCTGTATAACTTTTTGGATCAAGTTTCAATTTGATTTAAAGTACACTAGTTAATTTAACTAAATATTAGGCTATACCGGGTAAATTCCAATTTAGATAGCTTTTATTGTAATTTAAAAATTGTTCTTTATTTCTAGAAAATGTTAAATATGTCAAAAACCTTACATTTTAGTCGTATACTTCTCTTATAAAACTTTATAAAACTCTAGTTATAAAACTTTTTTGGGGACACCCTGTAGAACTCTCTATATTTTTAAAAAGTTCTCTGAATTAACTTATACCGGGTGCGTCTCAAAAGTGGCTCACCCCTATAACTTTTTTATTTTTTTAGATAAAACAAAGAGATTTGGTATGTTAGTATATGGCATAAATTGGGATTGATTGACGTATTCAATTATTTTTGGTCACTTCCAGTTTCTCCGGAAATGACTACAACTTTTGATTTTTAAATGGCGCCCTCGGTATTTTTTTACTTTGTTCGATGGAAAATGACACTCTGAATCGACTGACATATCATATGTCAATTTTTGACATAGTCACTCAAAAACAAAATTCTATTTTAAATTTCAATCTACAGTAATTTTTAATCAAGGAGCCTTGGAAAAATCGATTTGATCGTCTAATGTTTTTAGTGTCTTGTCCTGTCCGGTTAAAAGATGCCCAAATCGTATTTTTAATCATATCTCAATTTTTTCAAATGGAACGAGGGTGGCTCATGAGCATATTTGGAAAAAGCATTTTTTTACGAATAATTTGATTCCACACACTTGGTATTTTGAGTCAAATTGTCGTTATGAACCGCATGTTACAATTTCAAATAAACCATACTTATGCCAAAATGTCAAAAGTTGACATATGATATGTCATTCGATTCAGAGTGTTATTTTCTATCGAATAAAGTAAAAAAATAACGAGGGTGCCTTTTAAAAATCAAAAGTTGTAGTCATTTCCGGTGAAACCGGAAGTGACCGAAAACAATTGAATACGTCAATCAATCCCAATTTATGTCATATACTAACATACCAAATATCGTTTTTTTATCTGAAAAAATAAAAAAGTTATAGGGGGTGAGCCACTTTTGAGACGCACCCAGTATATGCTCACAAAATTTCATTTCAATACAAACTGTTGTTCTTCGCGTATGAGAGGCCGCCACCCTGTATAAACCCACACGCTCTATTCAAATTGAAATGAATATTTATCTCGAAAATGACGATGTTTAGCGGAATTACGGCTGCCTTTTCGAGTGCGCTTGACCGAGAAGCGGATCCACTTGACCCGCAGCAGCAGCTCCGCTCGCGAACAGACTCCTGAAAACGTTTAATTTCGTGGGAAAATGGACGTTTTTGTTTCGAAAGCGTGCTCGCTTTGTGCCCTTCTCTTCCCGAAAGGTTCTAATGGGCCCTTTTGTGCTCGCTTTGCTGGGACTTAAGCCCTTTACGGTTGAAGGGTTTAAATATCTGAAACATTTTATTTACACAGATGGTATCGTGATTTTATCAAAGGAATGAAAGCTTTTACGTGTTTTTTGTTTAAAAGTAACTTACTTTATGGCAAGATCACCAAAGTTAAGCGACGTTATACGATGCGAGTGGATGGACGAGTGAACGTCTGGACACACACTATGACACTATGGACACACGTCTGTCTTAATCACAGGACTTCAATACGCTGATGACTGCGCTCTAGTTGCATTAACGTTACAGAAATTACAAGAAATAGTGAACACACATACCTGGGCATATGAGACTTTGAACCTTAGCCCATGGCCACACAGAAAACGTTTTTTTGCGTTTTTAGCGTGAAACGCCTTTAGCGACTAAAACAAAATAACAGGATTATATAGGATTGGCCAGACCAAAAGCATGTAGCGTTCGGCGTGTCTCGCAAAAAACGCAAATGAAAACAAATCAGTTTGTTTTCTGTATCGTCTTTAGCGTTTTCTAAGATGAGACCCCGCCATAGGCGGACGTTATATTTAACAATACAATAAAAATAAATTAAATAGTATGCATTTTTTTGTTCAATTTAGGATATTATCTAAAACAGAACATCTACTGTTTAGGAACATTCTATTAAATTCAAAAATTTGAAGGAAATGTTTGAATAAGTGTAGTTTTAAATGTTAAAAAAGTAATAAATTAAATGAATATTTTCTTACGCATAAAAAAACTATCTTTTACGCGTAAAAAAGGTTTCTTAACAGAAACAAATAGTTTTTAACGCGTAAAAAACAGTTTTTTACGTGTAACAAATATATTTTTACACGTAACAAATAGTTTTATACGCGTTAAAAATAGTTTTTTAACCAGTAACAAATAGTTTTATACGCGTAAAAATAGTTTTTTACGTGTAACAGTTTTATTCGCCTAAAATAATAAAAATAGTTTTTTACGTGTAACAAATGTTTTTTACACGTAATAATTTGATTCACGTTTACAAAATTTGTATTAAAATATCAATATTATTGATAAACACGTGAACTGCTCACAAATACGCGTCACTACGTATTTCTAAGCCGTTAACACGTTTCGTTACAACGAGCTCGTGTGTCAGGGCCGCCTCACTAGCTCGTATGTCACGGCCTTGAGTTTTTGCTCCCAGCGCGCGTAAAGAAGTTTCACTCCAAAATGTTTCATACATCATGTTCTAAAATTGCATTAGCGACTAGAAATATTTACTATTCTATTATATAATTATAATTATTTATTATAAAATTATATAAGAGTTTCTTGCCTTGAACTGCTAATATAGAAATTAATTCCACGCTGTGTTCGTCATAATGTGGATCAACCTGCTCTCACTACCGGTTTCGGGGCCCTACTCCATCATCAGGTGAGCTTGGGTATTTCCACAAAACGACGAGCACAGCGCAGAATATATAAATACGACTTGTCGTAAAGTAGCGGTAAGATATTAAGTCCCGCATCGCGAGATAGCGGCCTTTCTATTATATTATTTATTATATTATATTATCATTATAACAAGTACTAACTACAACATTACAACATAAAAAAACTATACACATATAAACTAAAATTCGTAAAATAAATGGCAAATAATAATTATTATTTTTACACACACCACTGGCACTAGCAGTAGATTGTGTTTGTCTCCGAATATATTCCCCGGCCCGTCCACAATTCAATCCCAGCATCTTTTATCTTCGTCTCTTCAACGCCAACGGCCTGATCTCGCCTATCTCTTTCTCACAGGATTGATTGTTGGACAGGCCGGGAATCTTGATAGAAACTGCAGACCTGCCGCGTCTTTTGCGTGTTTTTAATGGACACAAATCGAAAAAATCGCTTAAAACGGTAAAATCGCAAAAAACGCTTTCTGTGTGGCCGTGGGCTTAAGCTGAACATCGATTAAACTAAAATCATATGCACTTTTCCGTTTCCATTCTGACGTTTCCACTGGTTCTCGAATAATTCATTAGATCATTAGGTGCATAGAGAAGATTTAGAATTCGTGTGTACGCTGCCATTCCAGTGAACTCGATTGTTCTCGTACCTTAACTTAAAATTCTTTTTTTTACTTTGATTTTTTAATTTTGACAAATGTTTTATTATTTTTTTGATTACTCTTTTATTTTGATTGCAGATTGCTGAAAAAACCGAGCCTCATTCCTGTCGACACGGCACCAAGAAAAGCAACATAGAAAAAAACCAAAACCAAAAATGCATTCCTTGTAAGTCATTTTCATTATAGTCAAGGGCCAATTTGTCAAAATACATAGTTCGCTTGCAATTTCATGAGGCAATGTTGTGAGATACTTTAAAATTTTCAGAGTATCATCTAGAATACGATTTTTTTTGGTACCAGCCCCGCATCTATGTCAGAGCGGAGAAATACCCCCCTCCTCTAGATAGACGGGGTCCAATTTTTGAAAAGTTGTTATAGACGTAAAATATTGATATTGGTGTCGTTTTCGTATAATTTCAGGCCGGCAAATTTCAATATTAGATCAATTTTTAAAAAAACCCTGGATGAGAACGAACACTGCCCGTCTTTTGAAGTGGGTATTTCGATTTAATGCACAAAACAAAATACCACTGACTTGTAGGTATGATTGTATTGTTGAATATCAACTTGTTTTTGCTTTTTAAGGTTTAGTGTTACGTATTCAGGATTTTCTTCATATAAATCAAAAAGTTTGACTGTTACTAAAAACTAAACAGTAATTATATCATGCTATGTTTATTACTTTTTTAAAGCTACAAATTCTTCAAATTTTAAAGTAAGGCCAAGAGTTTACTATAAATCCATTTTTGTCTTTCTCTAACATTAATTCTTCTGGGAAACGTAATTAATATGCATTTCTCGAATAAGTGCAATACATACACAAACTGTTAACCCTACTTTTTGCCGTCTTATTTAAAGAAAACGAGCAAAACTAATATTGGTCATTTTGAAATGCACCAAACTAGTTTTGCGCAATTCAAAATGCACAATACTAGTTTTGACTATTTTGTAATGCGCAATACCCGTTTAAATGTACAATTTCGGTTTTGGTAAATATTTTTTGCTCAAAACTAGTTCTGTGCATTTTTTTCGGGCATTACCCGAATTCGAGTATTGTACGTAACAGATACAACAGACTAGCGCAAGCTGTTGCTAGGATATTTTATTAATTTTAATTGTGTTTTGTAGACATTGTGAACGATCGTAAACTAAAAGGTTTAAAGTGTATTTAAAACCACTAATTTATTCCACTAATAGGTTCTGAATGAAGCTTTAATTTAAAGTATCAAAGTTTCCGATAATTTCCGTATCAATTTTCATTGAACTAAATAAATTTTGTGCTTCTTTGACATTTTAAAACAGCAAAAGATATGACTTTAATTAAAATGCTATCAATAACAATCTATCAAAAAATTAAAAAGAAATTATATTACCATAGAATTGCGTTTTGAACTTTTAGGAAAATTCAACCATACCTAATTTCATGTTTTTTTTTTTTAATTTTCTTTAAAACGGTATGGAAATTTGGAAAAGTACAAACGGGATTAACCATTTTAGAACAAGCAAAAAAAACCTTTATGAAGAATCCATTTGTTTCAAAATGTCAATAATAAAAAAGTTTTTTTTTCCTCTTGTAGAGACAATCCGGGAACATACAGTATAAGTATTTAAATAATATAAGTAAATTATCAGATAATGTAACATAATTTTGCATATTTAATATAGAGGGTGTTTCAAAACAAATGCGAAAAACTTCAGGGGGTGATTCCTTGTTCAAAATAAAGGCTAGTTTGCTTTATAAACGTTGGGTCAAAAGTCAACTATTGGGGAGATTATCGCGGTACAAAGATGGCGGAAAAATAATGTTTTTATTTTTTATCTTGAAAACGAAAAGCGATAGACTAATGAAATTTTATGGAAGCATTACTGTTATGAAAACACACTTTCCGGTAATTTTCTCCCTTTTTAAAATGAATGGAAGGGGTTGAAATAACCTACCTCTATCATTCTTAACGAAATTTAAAGAAAAATCTTATCAAACACATGCAAAAAAATCATTAATTAATTTGGATAGTTTAGTTTGTTTAGAAACTTTTTTATCTCTTGTGTTTTTTTGATAAAACTCACCGATTTGAAATTAAAAAATAAAATGTAAAGCATTACCCCCCATGTCAGGACAAAAAACATTTTTAGAGAAAGAATCTAGTGAGCTGCTGTAATTTTTTTAGGAAAAAATCTAGTCGGCCGCTGTCCCTTTTTAGGATGTTTCTAATATTATTTTATTTGACATTATTCTACTGCAATACGTTATTATCTAGATTATTATTATCGTTATTACCATTAGATTATTTATCTAAAAATGTTTTTTGTCCTGACATGTAATGCTACATTTTATTTTTTAATTTCAAATCGGTGAGTTTTATCAATTAACACAAGAGATAAAAAAGTTTCTAAACAAATAAAGTATCCAAATTAACTTTTTTGCATGTGTTCGATAACATTTTTCTTTAAATTTCGTTAACAAGAATGATAGGGGTAGGTTATTTCAACCCCTTCCACTCATTTTAAAAAAGTGAGTAAATTACCAGAAAGTGTGTTTTCATAACAGTAATGCTTCCATAAAATTTCATTAGCCTATCTCTTTTCGTTTTCAAGATAAAAAATAAAAACATTCTTTTTCCGCCATTTTTGTACCGCGATATCTCCCTAATGGTTGGCTTTTGACCCAACGTTTATGAAGCAAACTACCCTTTATTTTGAACAAGGAATCACCCCCTGAAGTTTTTCGTATTTGTTTTGAAACACCCTGTATAGGGTGTCCCAGAAATAAGTGCAAGTATTTTAGGGGGTGGTAGATCTCGATAAAAGAAACATATTTTTCCTTTATCGTTTTTCAAATAAGTCCAAAATAACGGAGTTATTTTACTTAGTTATTTTACTTTGAATATTAAAAAAATGATTTTTTGTTAAACTTTTGAGAACCACTGGATTTTTTCTGGATTTTCTTTCTTGTAAATTTAATCTAATACCTATGTTGCCATATTATCAAGAAATTATGTTTTTTAACTAAAAACTAAAAAAATATCCAAATTTTTTTTCAAAAAATCATGGGCGTGTTTCTGGAGTTGAACTATACTACCAGTTAAAATACTTGCACTTTTTTCTGGGACACCCCGTATATTTTTTTTATATTTCAGATGATTATAACAGGGTCGTATTGGACACTATTGAAGGAGAACACGACAGTGATTACATTAACGCTTCCTATGTAGATGTGAGTCAAAACCATTTTTTTAACATTAGTATTATGGCATATCTCGTTTAAAACAAATACCAATTTAGCACATCGCTGTATAAAAGTTAAAAAAAGAGTTTGATAGATTACCGATTTTATCTTTTTTTCTCATTTTCTCTCTATTTTCTATTATTTTTTTGAACGTGGCGATTGGATTTTAGTTCGTCGATAGCTGGGGAAATTAATAGAGATATTGCCATCAAGCCCGTTCAATGTATTAATTACTTTTTTTGTGTTGTCAGTCGAAGTGTCGATATTTTGAAATTGCATCATTTTATGCATACAAAATGGTGATATTTGAATAATTATTCTTTGTCTAAATGAGGCAACACATGCATCAAAAATATCGTGATGTTGCAAAATTTCACATAATAATAGTTAACACACAGAGCAAATAAATACAGGGTGGTCCGAACTGTATTCCGGAAACTTCGGCAGCATATTCTACAGATAAAAATAAGTAAACAACCTCGTATAAATGTATGTCCTAAAATGCTTTGTTTCAGAGATACAGGGTGTTGAAGTTTCATTTTTATTTCGATTTTTTCCAAATAATTTCTGAAGTAACGTCAATATTTGGATGAAAATTGGTGTCTGGGAGTTTTTTGACATGAGACATTTGATTTTGATGTCAATATGACTGCTTCTTTTAGAGGATCCGTACCTGTATAAAACTACTGAGTAAAAAAATATTTACATTTACGATGTTTTTTACGTAAAAAAAGTCTCTTGGTAAAAATCGCTACGAGTAATGGTTTTCGAGATATTTGGAATCGAAATTATCAATACCTGTCATCACTGACAAAAATTGAACATGTTGACACTAAATAGTTAGTTATTGGACTGAAATCATAAATTTGAAATGTTTTTGTGCCAAAAGTTCAACAGAAACTGTTTTATCATCGTTTTTTCGAAGAAAAGTTTATGATTAATATAAAAAAATAAAAAGTTCCCAAATTTATCATTATAGTCAAATAACTATCTACTAAACATGTTTATTTTTTGTCAATAATTACGATTATTGACTGTTCCCATTCTAAATATCTTGATAACGGTTGCTCGTACCAATTTTTTCCAAGAGACATTTTTTACGTAAAAAATCATGAAAATGTATATTTTTTCACTCAGTAGTTTTATACAGGTATGGACGAAAAGTTATTACTCTTCAAAACAGTTAAAATACATGTAGGTGGCGCCCCCTACAAACAGGAGTCATATTGCCATCAAAATCAAATTTCTCATGTCAAAAAACTCCCATACACCGATTTTCATCCAAATATTGATGTTACTTGACAAATTATTTGGAAAAAAATCGAAATAAAAGTGAAACTTCTACACCCTGAATCTTCGAAACTAAGCATTTTATGACATACATTTATACGAATATGCTGCCGAAGTTTCCGGAATAGAGTTCGGACCACCCTGTATATTAATTTATAATTATTTATTATAAATTAATATACCTACAGGTGTTCTGTATATTATATTTCATCTAATTAATTATTATAAAAATTTATTTAATTAAAACAATAAATAATATCTATGTATATTCTAGATTGTTGTTAATATATATGAAGTCTATTATTTTATTCTTATTGCTAGAAAAACGGTAATTATTTTATCGTATAAATTGTGACAAAAACATAAAAAAATAGCCATGGTGCATTCAATTTATTATACAGGGTGGTCGAAATTATTAATCGGGAAACTTTCACAAGCTATCCTGCAGATAAAAATAAATAAAAAAAGTTCGTATAATTTCACGTCCTGAAATGCTTTCTTTCGGAGTTACAGAGTGTAGAAGTTTCATTTTTATTTCGTTTTTTTTTTTCAAATAATTTCTGAACTAACGTCGATATTTTGATGAATATTGATGACTGGGTATTTTTTGACATTGGAAATTTGATTCTGATGTTAGTATGACTCCTTCTTAGAGTGGATATTATGGATGTATTGCGTTGCTTACCTTGGTTATGGTTTTATGTTCCGTTTCTATCGGTTTCCTAAAAGTTTTCTTATTACGGAACACGGTTCCTGAAAAATTCGGTTATAACGGTCACCAAGCTAACCAGCGCGAGAAGGCAGTTTTTTCTGGTTTTGTTTGTCAATCAATGTCATTTATGTGACAGAAATCAAGCAAATATTGGAAGTTCGAGTGAAATTCTCATTTAATTTCTAAAATTTGTAATAATATTTTGTATTTACACCCAAAAGCAATGGAGGTAGGCAGTAAAGGTAAATAAATTTCATTAACTAAATAGAATTTTTTTTAGGACCATTTAAACTTATCATCCAGCCATTGTCTCTTAAAGTCAGGGGAGCATTTAAAGAAAACATGAAAAACAAGACAACAAGTAATTGTGAATGTATTGTAAGCTATTAAAATATAAATATTGAATAGATTTGTTTATTTATTATTGATCTGTTTTCATATTGGACCTGCAAATTTTCACTTGAGCTGTTTAATGAGTTAACAGTTTATTAATAAAGTATTTTTCAATATTAAACTCCATTGAAAAGAAGAAGCAAGCGTAAAAGCAGAGAATAGGTACATTAAAAATGTCAACATTTGACGTTTCCAGTATTTTACCAAACCGTTCCGTATCAAACCGATGTTTTTCATGAACCGCGCTTTACCCTAATTTACCGGTCTCAATCAATCAATTCTGGTCATTTCGGACCACCCTGTATACTTCATTATTTCCTTTTACCTTGGCGATGTTTCTGTTCCCTTTAGAACCAGCCGCCACTGAAAATTCTTAAATAAAAAATTGTTATCAGATTTTTTTCCAGAATTTCACCACATTCAAAGTAACGTATTTTTCCAGAATTTACTTAATGATATGCCTATCTGCCATAAAAAATGTTCATTGGTTAAAGTGTGTTAAAGATACATATACAGGGTGGCGCCTCTCATACGCCGCGGAAGCTCCAAGGAGAACGGTAGTTTATATCGAAATGAAATTTTGGTAGCATATGTAGGTTAACTGAAAGCATTTTATGAAAATATATAGAATTATACAGGGTGTCCCCAAAAAAGGTTACACAACAAAGTTGTGTTTTTTCTAATGGAACACCCTATATATTAATTGATTTTCGGATTCTAGAAAAAAAATAAAGGTGAGTTTTATTAAAGAAGCATATACCTAAAATCTAAGGATTTTGACATATTTCACATTTTGTGAAAATGAAGAGTAAATTTTAGATTTCGATAACAGCTACCTAAACTTTAGTTGACCTTGTATAGCCTGATATTTAATTACAGTAACCATTGTATGTTAAACTAAATTGAAATTTAACCCGAAAAATTATACAGGGTGAGCCAAAATTAATATGAAACATTAGTACTTTTAAAAGCAAGTTACTCCTTTATTTTAAATGGAACACCCAGTATATTTTTCCGATGTTCAATGGGGAATTAATATATCTTCAAAATATTATTAAGGTTGCCTACCCCTCAGACAAAGATTTTCCCAGATATTTTAATTTTTATGATTTTGCGTCAGTAAATCTTTATTATTTGAAAAAATCTAGGTGGCTGTGTGATATACCTTTTATTAATTTAACAAAAATTAAAGATTGTGGAGTAAAATACTCAAGGGTAATAAAAAAATACACATTTAAAACATATTTTAATTATTACAGAATTAAAACTATAAACCTATAATTATGCGATAAAAATTAGCTGGATGAAATTACATGCTCAAAATGCTTCCTTTCCTGTTAACTGCATAAAACGATTGTCTTTTCAAAAGGATCTTTTCATTTTAAAAGGCATATGTGGAGTTCTACCTGAAAAACCAGCTACAATAATTTATCTCATGCTGTCGACACTAGTTGGTCGAGTTTTTTAAACACTGTCTTTAACATATTCCCATAAAAAAAACCAGGCTAGATAAAATCAGGAGCATTTAACTATTCTATTAATTGGTGAATGCACACTCCATTCACCAACTAAAAGAATCATATCATTTCTCTTTGATGTAGGATAAGTTTGCATTTTCGGCAAATTCCTGAGAATTTTTTTTTTGTTTTAACTGACAAAAAATTATAACTAGTTATTAAAGTTGAACTAATTAGACAGCTATGTTGAAGTAACGTCAGACATATCACAGCCACCTAGGTTTTATCAAATAATAAAGATCTACTCAGATCAAATCATGTAAATGAAAATATCTAGGAAAATCTTTGTCTGAGGGGTAGGCAACCTTAATAGTATTTTGAAGAGACAGGAATTCTCCATTAAATATCGGAATAATATACTGGGTGTTCCATTTAAAATAAGAGAGTAACATGCTTTTAAAGGTGACCAATGTTCAATATTAATTTTGTCTCACAAGTAGAATAGTTAGTTTAACTACATATTAGGCTACACCGGGTAAATTCCAATATAGGTAGCTTTTATTGTAATTTAAAAATTGTTCTTTATTTCTAGAAAATGTTAAATATGTCAAAAACCTTATATTTTAGTCATATACTTCTCTTATAAAACTCACCTTTATTTTTCTCCTAGAATCCGAAAATCAATTAATATATAGGGCGTTTCATTACAAAAAACACAACTTTGATATGTAACTTTTTTTGGGGACACCCTGTAGAACTCTCTATATTTTTAAAAAGTGCCCTGAACTAACCTACATATGCTCACAAAATTTCATTTCAATACAAACTGTCGTTCTCCTTGGAGCCTCTGCGGCGTATGAGAGGCGCCACCCTGTATCTGATAAACCTCAACAAAATATATCTAATTTATATGTTTTTTTGACAGAGTTTACTGAAACCAAATGCCTACATTATAACGCAAGGGCCTACGGAAGAAACAGTCACGGATTTCTGGAGGATGGTATGGCAAGAAAAAGCCAGTTGTATTGTCATGCTAACGAAAACCTTCGATTTTATTAAGGTAAATTTTCTGTTGATTAAAAACTGTATACTTCAGAGTCTATTACGCTGTACTGTGCGGGCCGCTCTCAGGTGTCGGGTAAAGGGGGTGTGTGGCCCAAGGAAATATATATTATATTTCAGAAATCTGCCTAAAGCTTAGCCCGATCCTGTCGTGTTAAACCACATCCAAAATTCCAAACACACGTGCTTTGATTAAGGCTTGATTAAAGTTTGCAGAGCTTCAGCATTTGTCATAAAATAGCGAGCAATTTGTTACAAAACTATATAAGTTATATATCACTGTAATCACAAAACTTCAATCTATTTCCGTATAGTATATTCCGTATAGTCCTTATTTTCGAGAACATTTAGTTCAAACATAAGGAATATTTTGTTGATGTTTGACCATCAACATCTTAAAGTTAAAGAAGTTGTCTAAAAATGTGCTGCAACACGGATATAGTATAATCCTTTATCTTTAATTTCCTTCTTCATTTGTGTAAAAATACCCAGCCAGTTTGAGATAAAACGTTAAATGCCGAACGCTTATTTTGCTACTTTTTCGGACTACCCAACTAGCAAATATAGTTCCCAGTCCTTTTAAAAATGTCACTGCCCCTAAAGGTAAGTGTCCATTTGAGAGTGACTGTCGATAGTCACTCCAAAGAGAGTATCCATTTGAGAGCGATTTAAAGAATTTTTGCTATCGGCTAGATAACTAAACTGTATTCAAATTCAAAATGCGCCAGTATAAACAAATGCAAGGTGCGTGATCAGCACGTGTCAGGCGAGAGCCAGCGGCAAAATCTACCCTGATTTGCCGGCCCGCCATAGAGCCGTTGAGGTGGGCGGTTAAGATTTTTTACAGGGTCGATTTGCATAGCGCGTTAAGGAATACTGTTTGATAACATAAAAATGCTTTTTAAATTTATTCCCAACCAAGCGAGTAAATTCAGAACAGTCAACTATTTCAATAATAATTGTTGATCACTTCGTAAAAGTTACAAGTTACAAATAGAGAAAATAATATTTACGTTTGCATAAAATATTTTTACAATTAGTACACACGTACACAATTAGTACACACCTACTACAAAAAGTCAAAAGTTAAATATTTTATATAAAATTATTATTTTGTAAATGTTAATAAAATTATAAATTTTGTAAATCTAATGTTAATAAATGTTATGTTTCAAAATAGAAGTTTTTATTTGACTAGTTTTTTTCAAAAAAAATGTCGTTATACTTTAAAACGGATAATACAGCAGGCTACGAAAGCAAGTTAAAACTAAGTGTTTTTGTCAACTAAAATTTTTCCTGGCGGTCTCTTACCGTTTTTCAGAAAAACGGAAAATAGTTTCAACATAGAATTTTACTTAATTTCTCATATTTTTAAGGTTTTCTAGCACATATTTTGTTAGGTATTCAATAAACAATGAGGTTTTTGCTATTTTCTGTTACTTTTTTAACCAATTCTATGCATAATAGTGGAAAATTTGCTAAAATAAATTTGTAAACAATCTGAAAATGTTGGGTTATGTGTTTCTGGCATTTAAAGCAACGTTGCCAATGCTGAACGTAAATTTAGCGTGTTCTTTTCGCTCATTCTGGGATTACGAAAGGCGGTTGCCTTGTTGAACAGCTCCTTCCCATAACTGCTATTTTACCAACGATATCTGTCTATTTATAACCACGAAGTGGCATGAAAGAGTTTTGTTTGCATTGGTTACAACTTCTATGCGGAGGGTGTTAATCTTTTTTTGTTATATTATATAAAAAAAAGACATAAAAATATCAACCCCCTAAGCATAGAAGTTGAAAGCAATGTAATTAAAACTCTTCCGCGTAACTTTGTGGATATAGGTATATTTAACTATTGTCAAATCTCATAATAGGTAATTTATTTAAAATCCCTAATCACCCGAAAAAAAATCAAATATTTGTCTCTCTCAGTACATAGGAGAGAAAAAGAACAATATATGAAATGTCAAACTTCCATCTGGTCTCAATTTTCTTTGTTATTTTGTTAAGAAAAGTGTTTTTCAGTAAAATTTTGGTCATTTTTCAATCCTCAATCAAGTGTGGCTTTTAGATAAACTATGATATAATAAAAATATAGTGAAATTATTACTTTATAGCGCTGAAATAAAAAAAAAATTCAATGTTGAAATTATTTTCCGTTTTTCTGAAAAACGGTAAGAGACCGCTGGTTGGTTAGGTTTGGTCAGATTCGTAATCTACGACCTCAAAATAGGGTGTATACCAATTTTGGTGAAAATAGGACGATTTCCAGTTTTCCCAATAATTACCCATTTATATAATATAAATTTCCATCATAAAATATAAACAATAGTAAAAAAATCATAAAAATATACATAATAATTTTATGATTTGAAATATCCGACCTTAGTGCGGTCCTGGTTATATTACTACAGCGTTCCTGTTCACGTGCTTGCCTCATGTCTCTGTTTACGTTTGGTGCATCTTGGGGTTGAATTTACTATAAAAACTCTCCAAATGCTTACTCTCATACATATCTGTCAGGAGGGTATCCATTTGAGATTTCTGTTTCATCAACTGCCTTTCTTTGTGTATTAACGTGTTTTGTGTTTTTTAATCAATTTAGTTATTCCCTCATATAAAACATATATACAACACATAAATAATGTACAGCATATATATATCATAGAAGATCTGGGTGTCGTCCTTCTTCAACTGTCGCATCAGTGACCTGTTGGTACCAGATCCTGGCCAAATGGTATGGAAGGCATTCTTTTCTTAATTATTTCTGTCGTCGATTTCTGGATTTAGTGTATGGTTCTATTAAAGATTAACCATTTAATCCTTTTTTTGAATTGTATAAATTTCAATTTTTTTACCTTCTCTGCTAAACTGTTGAATTTTTGAATTGTTTTTGCTGTTAGTCTCTGTGTTAATGTCTTATTTTTTACTTTATGGCATCTAATATGTGACTTTTTCCTTGTTTGGTAATTCTGAACTTCCTTGTTTGTATTTAATTTAATATTTAGCAAGCTATTAAAAAGTATTAATTGTTTTATATCTAGTTCTTGCACTGTATCAAATAATATGTGCGTTGGTGTTCTTTTGTGTAATTTATATATTAATTTATGTTTTTAATAGATGTAAAAATGTAAATAATACGTGTAGTGTGAAAGAAACATAGAAGTGCAGATAGTTAATCCCATGGTATCCCACAAAACTGTATTTTCCTCGTATATACTTATTAAAGTATCGTCTTTTGACCACTTTTTGCGAGTAGCTGCCATTTTAAATTAATAATTCTCTGCTAGAACTATCACAATACGAAACGTAATCGTATTTCAGAAGTAACTATCCGCTATTAAAAATAATATGTATACCCTTGAGAGCAAATCGTTGCGAGTAAACTATTGATAGTAAAATGAATATCGTCGGTGAAACGTGATAAACTGCTAAGTCCATTATTCCTAATTTTACAGGAGAGCAAAAAAACGGTACAAGAAAATATGTACACATGTGGGAAGTATTTTGATGCGTTAATATGATAAAGAGATAAGAATTTTATTTGCTGGGGAACAATAAAACTCAATATTTGGTGTTACGTCATTTTTTTCCGACACAATAAGGAGATAGCAGATATTCGTCTTGCAGAAATAGGAAATAAAAATATACTTCTGGAGATAGCAACCTTTATTGTTTGAAATTTTGAAAGTGGAAATGAATATTACCCAAACGGATTTATAAATAATCAATTAAATTTAAAAAATATGATATTCATAACCATATATTTATAATATCGTCAATCTAGAAGCAAAACATACAAGTCCAAAAACGAATAAATTTTTTAATGAAAATTTCAAACCTCTACTTTTCAACCAATAACATGCTTTAATGTTGACTAGTTACCATGGCAACTGAAAAAATTTCCGGAAATTTTTTCGAGGCGCCACGAAACTTTAGTGGAAATTTTTTGACAGTTGAAAAGGTAAACATAAGATCTACAATCATAATGTGAATGAACTAAAATGTTTATATATTGAAATATTACCCATTTGAGTTTTAGCATTTGATGTAACTAAGGTTGGTAATATTTTTTATTTAAGGAAATATGTTAGATATACCTACATATGAATTTCTTCGAAATTGCCATGTTCTAAAAAATATAGTTCTGCCGCCTTTATTTAACTAAAGCTGGTATTTTTCTATTTAACGAAATATGATGGATATACACTTGATTTTGATTTTCGGGTGTTATCTGGTTTTATATTTTCAATTTCTTCTTTAATGACTTGTTGGTTTACTTTTCCAAATCGCGACATTTCGCTATACGCTTCTTACTCTACGTACAGACGTTTTAAAACTAGTAATAGCTTAATGACAGAATCGCAAACAAAAATGACAAAACACATAATATGTCAAAAACATCAATACCTTGGCCAACTTAACAAATTGAAATTATTTTAAAATGTCATGTTGGATTAATATTTTTTTTTTCAAATTTAGGTGTGAAATTTTCTTACCGAATACCACGCAAGCTTAAATTATTCCTGGAAATTTTCTTTCGGGCACGAATAATTTTCAAAATATTCGTGCCCTCAAAAAAATTTCCGAAAATAATTTAAGCTCTTGTGATATTATAAGTGAAAATTTTAAAACTTTTTGCAGTTTTAAAGAACTGAAGTAGCAGAATTTTGGACTTAATGAATATGAAAATAATTTAAAAATTAAACTTATAATTCTTAGAAGATATGGTAGAATCCTTCCATGCTTATTCTCATTTTTATACAACGGTAGAGTAGACCGAGCTTGGAAGACAGTGCCTGATTTTATTAAATTTTTATTACTTTTCTCCTTATTTTTTTAATTTTTATAAAATGTATCATTTACGTGAAATTATGTATCATTTACGTGAAAATACGTTGAAAAAAATAAAACTGATTAGGTATTATTGAAATTCTTGTACAAGTAAGTAATGTTATTTAAACTATTTATAGCACGCCGATGAATAATTGCTCGTATATAGCGAATTTCGTTTTTCCCCTTACCCTTTACGGATACCCCGTATTTACAGAACGGATCGACGCAGGGTCGGACTGGCCATATTATATAGATAACTATTAGTTATATAACTATAACTAACCCTTTATAGTTCATTAATAATTAATGAGAATTAAGAATAATCATTATTCTTAACAATATTTGCTTTTGCATTGCATTACTGAATTTGCAATGCATTGGTTTACCTTGCATTAGGGTAGTTCCCTGATTTCTATACAGGGTGAGTCTTAAATAACTGCAAATATGTGCAGGGCTGGTAAATCTCGATAAAAGAAACATAATATTTTCTCTTTGCCGTTTTTTTTTTCAAATATATCCAAAACAACCGAGTTATTTTACTTTTAAAATTTCCAATTTTTTGCTATAATTTTGAGAATCATTGGATTTTCTTTCTTGTAAATTTAATCTACTACCTATGTTACCATATTACAAACAAAGTATGTTTTAAAATAAAAATTTAAAAAAAAAACCCAATTTTTTTTTTTTAAATTCCAAATTCTCCAAAAAAAATAATTCGCGCATAAACCTCATAATCGTGTTTCTTGGTTCGAAATATACTACCCTAAAAATATTTGCACTTATTTAAGACTCACCCTGCATATAATAGTGAAAAATTGACCAAAACGTAAGGCGAAAAAATACGCCAAATAAAACACACTAGCCCCTCCTTACATTGCCACCCAGGCCCCTTTGGCCTAGTGCGACCCTGGATCGACGTACTGTACTAAAAAACATACGACTAAGAATCTGTGTGTTTGCTTTAGCGTGATCGTAACGAAAATTACGGAGATAGCAGCATTTCGGTGGCTATTTCAGATCACTAGGAGTTAGCAGATATAATTAAGTTAAAATAAAAAATTTTCTTTAATGGGAAAAAATATCTTAGCTTCCCCTACTTATAGCGTATTTTGTTCTCTTTCTAATGGTATAAAAAAACTTATTAACGTAAAAAATGGAGTTAGCAGGTTATCACGTTTCACTGACGATATTCTCCCATAGGTAGTCGCAGACGTGTATCGACATGCGAGAACTACTATCGAGAGTTTCTCGCGCGAGTAATACTCTCAAATAGACACTTACCTTTAAGTATAGTTCCTAGGCCCACTCTGCCACTTAAAATGTTACTCTATAAGGAATAGTCACTTTGAAGTATATTTCGAGAGTGACCGGTTAGTCCCTACCTACCATAAAAGGGGAAAATAAACACCCCGATTGCAAGTCGCAAATATGCAATTTAAAGAAGTGGTTGGAACCACCCGAATCTTTGAATATGACACCATAAAAGACCAAAAACTTTATAGTAACTTTTCAAAGTAGGGGTTACCAACAAGTGCTACCATAATGCCTCTATTAAGTTTTTGTTACTTCATGGTAACAATTTAAGTTACGGGGTAGTCGCGGCCACGACACCTAGTTACTTCTAATTTATAGTAGCATTGAAAGTAGCAAAATGGTTACTGCTACCTTCCTAGGTCACTATAAAGTAGCCGTCGCTCATCCATTGCCACTAAAAAGTCACGGGGTTCAAAAACGGCTACTTTATAGTGACCGTAACTTAATATACCCTAATAAATGTAATTGCCTCAGATTGCATCGTGTGCTGCTCTGTTTAGTGTTTTCTTTTACTTGCTTTTAAGCTTTATTAAAATTTTGTAAAATCTCTAAGGTGAATAAAAAGGAATTTAGAATCTAGTACTTTCTACCGAAGAATTAAACAAAAGGAATCACTGCGAGCCGATGCATCAACATCAGAAACAAAAACTACATCTTTCTATAATCCTACTGATGAACATCATAAATCAGGTAGTGACTGAGACATTTTTGAAGTTGTTTCTGTAGATGAGTATAGTGTTAGTTCATCTGAAACTGAATCTCAGAGGAGAACTAATTTGAGGACCAACAACAATATAAAACAAGAGCTAAAAGAGTGGACGTTAAAATACTCTATACCTCATGTAGCTCTGAATAATATAGAAACACTAATAATAGAAAATGCACAATAAGTAAAAAATAACTTCAAAGGACAAGGCGGAACGTTATAGTGGCACCAATGGAATGTATAGTCGCCACCACCGCGATAGGTGTAGCAACGCTCCAATTAAGTGGTAATTTGGTGGCGCAGGGGTAACTTTCTTGGAAAAATGACTTTATGGTTCCAAAGAATCGTTGACCATGTAGTTCCAAAAAAGTTATTGTTTCTATAAAGTCGCCTTTGGATAGCTACAATTGTCACTTTATCAATCCGAAGATTTTAAAGGTTAAACGGGTAGGGTTGGCCTAATATGTTATTGTTCCCGGTACTTTGTGGAAGCATATGGAACTATAAAGTATTTTTCGGATTAAACGGCCATATTTTTTTCATGAATTTTTAGATGAACAGCCAAATGGCTAAAACATTATGCGTTTTTAAGCCAAATATACCTATATTAAAGCTTTTTTCCTTAGTTATTTTGTTATTTCTCACGGTGGACTAATATTTTAAAGTTTGGCCCCGGTTTCAAGCAAATTATTCTTATTTTTTAATTACAAACATTAGTTTCTATTGCAAATAATATAATAATTTGAAATATTTTGAGAGGCGCTCGAAAATTTTGTTATATAAACTCACTATTTTATTCAGTAAAGTTGATTGCGTTCTGGAATTTACCTAAAAAAAGCGTTAAAATCACACGGTACATAACAAATAACGAAAAAATAATAATGGCTTCCATAATTATTTTCTATCATGACATTTATTTTTATGAAATGTGAAATTGCATGAAGAGTATTGCATGAAAAGTCAAAAGTTCCACATGTCGGTCGGTGGCTAACACTTGGCTGCCACGAACCCGCGACTAGGCAGCTTCGTAACGGATAAGTCACATTCACCAGTAGGCTACTTTATAGTAACACATCATAGTAACTCTTTTAGTGGCAAAACTACCCAAGACACTACCCGGCTACTCAAAATCTTTCCCCATTTTGGTCGCAGTTACTTAGCAGCTACGAATATACGACATAGCCGCCGATGGTCACCGCTCACTCTGTAGTGGTTTTGATAGTAGCAGTTACGTATCTGCCACTATAAATGCTAGTTGGGTAGTGAAATGGATTCTTAATGCAGATAATAATAGTTCTCTCTCAAACAAAATATAGAAATGAACATTTATCTAGAAGCATCTTAAATTATGAATAAAAACCTCTATGATCAAGTTTTAGACTTTGATAGTTAAAAAAATAGATAAGTTATAATAATTTAGTATTAAGAAAAATACCATATACGCTATTGAAACACCTAAATCAGATTGATGTATCCTGAAATCGCAGTAATATCACCGTTAATTTAAGTTCTGTCACAATAATCTCAGTCGAGCCAACAATCTCGTAAAAAATCGAATTCAAATTCAAATGAAATCCGAATGTGTTAATTGAAACTTCAAACAGAACTGTCAAAAAAGGGGGTATATGATGTCTCCAATGCATGAATACAAGGATAGCATTATACTGTTTTTTTCCTTAATGAATTTCCATAAGAATTGTTTTTTTCTAAAATCATCTTTCCCTAGGAGATACAAGATCTTGTATCTCCTAGGGACTCTTCTAGACTCTTTTACATTCTACACAATTAAATTTTACATGGTTTTCAGGTGATGTGTGTCCAGTATTGGCCTGCGTCTAATGAGCTGGAAGAAACCTACGGTGGGATCCATCTCAAAGTTATACAAGAGGAAGAACTAGCTAATTTTAGAATAAGGACTTTTAGATTATATAAAATGAAAGACGGGGTAAGTAGCAAACAAGATACACAAATCACCAATAGTGTTTTTGTGACATTTAAACTATATTTTGACTTGCTCATGAAGTTAGTTATCATTAGTAACCTGCAAGGCATAGCATTATGTGAAAATGCAATACCGGTGTTTTATTTTTCACTATAGTTTGACAATATGTTGTCCTACCACTAAGTGGAAATCCATTAATTACATGACAAATAAAAGGGGGGGATGGGGTCAAGCCGAATCTATTTTTTGCCAGTATGGTGACATACTGTATATTAAAATTAAGAAAAAGATATCCCATCTCCCCAGGGGAAAAACTTGATAAGCGCCAATTACTTAATTTCAGAATTTTACAATATAGTAGATCTAACTGGTCCCTACAAAATGTATAAACTCTGCAAGGCAATAAGTTGTTAAATCCTAAGATATACCGGGTGTTGCATCGTCGGACGGGACATAGGAAATCCCATGTAAATTTTAATGGGGTCAATTATTGACTTCCCTAATTATTTTAGAGAATAATTCTATTCAGGTTTATTGAAAAGCACTAAAACCCACATTCAAAAGAATAACTTTAGATATTTTTGATTAGCTCGTTTACGAGTTATCGCCGATTTCTGTTTAAATATTTCTCCATTCTTGTGGCCCTGTATTTACTTATGAGCACCAGTTAAGGTAAAAGATAACAGTCAAATGAAGTTGTCATTTCAGAAATTTACATATTTAGTGCTTTATTATTATTGAAAACTCATTCCTACATAGGAAATCTTAAAGATGTATTTATAAATACAAATTAATATGAATTAAAGTAAAATAAAGGTTAATTAGGTAGTATAAGGTTAATTATAGTATTATTACAATATTCAATAACTTATTAATTTAGGTACTATTAAATAGTTAGAACTTTAGGATTTAAGAAGATGTTTAAATATTCCTCCATCGACTGCTAGACAATAACCCAGGCGATCATAAAATTCTCTTCTTATATTCGCTAGTTGGTAAACTGAAATTCTATTGCATTCAGCAGAAATAGCATTTTTTAACTCGTCCAGATTTGGGTATTTTTTATCCTTGTATATCCTGTTTTTTAAACGGCTCCAGAGAAAGAAATCATTTGGCGAAATATCAGGAGACCTTGCTGGCCAATTTACTGTATGATTCAGGCCAATAACGTTTCCGTTAAAACTATTGTCTAAATATTCCCGAACAGCCAGGGTACTATGTGCCGGGCAGCCATCCATTTGGTACCAAACTTCCTGATGTTCCCTAGCGGCATCATGCAAAGCAGGTAAAATATGATTTTCGAGTAGTTCCAAATAATATTCTGCATTTAAATTTCGCGTAAGAAATAATGGCCCGATAATATTGTGTCCGAATATCCCTGCCGAAACATTTACTTTCTGTGGATATTGCGTCCTTGTTTCGACAAACCTGTGTTGGTTTTCTTTGCTTCCAATATCGATAACAATGGGTTAATTATTTAAGGTAAACGTGCATTCGTCAGTGAAACATATGTTTTTTAAAAAATCCCTATCCGTGTTTGCTCTTTCCATCATATCAAAACAAAACGCCTGTCGCCGTATTTTGTCCCCATCTCGTAGCTCTTGGTGCTTTTTATATTTGAAGGAATAGTATTTATGTCGTTTCAAAATTTGAAAAGTTGTAGTGTGATCTATTCCTATTTCATCCTCAAGTTTTCTTGTGCTGATCTTTCCATCGTTCCCTTCCACGCACAATAAAACTTCCAAGTCGGTATCATTTCTTGCATCTTTTCTTTGTTCCTGCCTTTCTTCACATCTGCAGTTATTTATTAGGGTACCTTTTGTCTCAAATCTCTGGATATTCCTTGCGATTGAATGACCTATCGTGTGATGTTATTTTACAGCTCTTCCAGTTTTTAATATATGTTTAGTAAGATCCTTGTACCATATACGAGATGGTATACAAACTTTATTGATGGTAACTTTATTGGTCTATAAGATTTTCTGCCTGGGCAGCAAGTATCAACTATAAACTGTGCTCTGGGTCTTCAGCTAATTTTCCCTCGATTTTTCCTCCACTAGACTTCAAAAGACACAAAACCCACGTAATAACACGAATCAAAATACATAATCTTCCAAAACGCAGGGTATTTGACATAAGATGACATAAAACTATAACCTATAATTTGGCAAGACTTTGACGAGCCTCATTGATTGAACGCGGCAAGAATCTGATAAAACTATCAGCCGTCCAGTGCTCTCCTGTTAAATTAATGAAATGGCGCTTATCATGTTTTTTCCCTGGACCCTTCATATTTAATCGCCTATAACATAATTAACCGAGAGATTTTTTACAGGCTGTATCAGAAGAGAGATTTATTCTTCAGTTTCATTTCACGGAATGGCACTGTCATTCCAGCCCATTCAGTAACGCCTTACTCGAGTTCAGAAGAAGGGTCAGGGCTGTGGTAGGGCATAGGATAAAATCGAAGGAGGCTGGGCCTATGGTAGTCCATTGCAAGTAAGTTTAATTCCATTGAAATTATAGTTTTATTTAAATTTTTTGAAGTCTCATGTTGCAGTTCTTAGATCTATAAAAAAATTATAAATGATTTAACTTTTTAACATGATCTGTCTGTTGATTGAATTGTTTTGTATTTAAAGATTATTTGTTTAATATACGTGTATTACTAAGTTTAGTAAATTTTTCTTGTAGTTTTTTACTATGATACTAAAAAACATATAGTATTTAAACTAAAGAAAAATTGTTTGATCTAATTGTATAGCGATGGTGGTGGAAGATCTGGGGTATATCTCCTTGTGGATGCCAATATGGAACTTGGAGAAGAGGAGGACAAGTTTGACGTGTTCGGTTATCTAAAAAAGTTACGACAATCACGAATGGGCATGGTGGAGAACGTAGTACGTAAAATATTGTAGATAATTATAAGATTATTGTAGATTAACAATTAAGTATACAGGGTGCTACAAATTCGAGGTACGAGTATTGGTATCTCGGAAACCGTAAGAGATACGAAGATGATTAAATTGGGGCAAAGTTGCGCCTTGGGATGTTCACAAAGATGCCATCGAAAAAGTTTTAAAAATTTCAAGGATTGCTGAGCTTTTTGGAAAAAAGTTTTTTTTTTTGAAAAGTAATTTTATTTTTTCCTGTCGTTACTTGTTTTTGTTTAAGTAGGTACCCAAAAAAAAAGTATCGAGTGTGGCATATCATTGTACTCAGGAGACCGAGTTCTTTCAAAACTTGAAATAAAAAATGCAGATCCGTATTTAAACAAATTAAGTTGGTCTCTGTATCTCACAAATTATCAGCTAATTTGAAAATATAAAAATACTATCAGATAGCCCTAATAAAGTAGCCATGAGAATGTGTAATTCTTTTTTTGATTTTCTAAAAAGTAACGCCAGGCAAAAATAAAATTGATTTTCAAAAAAATCATTTTTTTTCTAAAAAATTCAGCAATCCTTGAAATTTTTAAAACTTTTTTGATGGCATGTTGGTGAACATCCCAAGACGCAACTTTGCCCCAATTTAACCATCTTCGTATCTGTTACGGTTTCCGAGATACCAGTGCTCGTACCTCGAATTTGTAGCACCCTGTATAGATAATATTCCTAACACACATTTTATTTTATTTACAACCACGTATACAGGGTGTCCCAATATTCCGTGGACATAGAACTATTGCCTAATTTTGGAAGCAAAATAAGTTCCCTGAACACAATTTACCTCTATACAAAATTGCCTCGTTTCGGCAAAATCTTAAAAAAAAATTATTTATAAATACTTTTTTTAAATAATTTATTAGGTACCCTAAGCTTATTAATACGCATTCCTCAATACGAAACATTGCGTTAATTACTGACATATAACGGTTATTTAACGTCTTTTAAAGTTCCATTCAGCCTTTTTGTTAGTATATGATTTTTACAGTAGGTTGTTCTATTTAAAAAAAAGAAACTAAGAAAAATAATTATTTTATATTTTAGAAAGTTTGGCGTGGAATTTTGAACATCCTGTATGATTTACGATTACTATTTATAGTAAGTACCAAAGTAAGTACAAACCATCTAAAGTAAATACCTAATATAGTTTTGATTTCAGGATATTTCTGGGTGTTTTTAATAACTTTTTTAAGAAAGGCTGAAAAAATATATTTTTTATTTATTTATTAATATTTCTAAAGCTATAGAAATATGTTTACTCATATCTTAGGATTATGTAAAGTGATCTGAAAGGAAGCCAAAAATGCGATAGTATACAGGGTGTTCTATTTAAGAAAAATTTTCCCGGTCCACTCACTCTTTTTTGAGCCACTCTGTAGATCTTAAATCAATTTCCTGAAGTACATCCTAATACCACGGCATATAAATCACACGGCAGGCTAACTCTGCCCAGATCCCATTGTTTAAAATTTCTATAAAAATTGACCTTGAAAACACCATTATGGGTGCCGAGTCAGGGCCGGATTAAAACGTATCAAAGAATTTCCCAGAAAATAAACTATTGCTAGACAGGGTCGTATTAAAAAAATACTGTAATTGACTGAAACTGAATTTTATTTACACAATACTTTTATCTAAACAAATGAATCGTTAATCGCGCATACTCCTCAAAAAGTAAAAATGAAAAAATCAATTAAACATTTAACTTTAGAGAATAGACAATTGAAATTAAAAAACATGCCAGGAGTCCAGGAGTTACAAACAAGAATTAAAGAAATACCCAATAAATTATCTATTGAACAATCTAAAGAGGTTACGTACAAATTATGTCCATCAATGGACATAGCAAATTTTGTTAATATTCAAATTGTACAAATTAACAAATCAGCTAAAGGAAGAAAAGTAACTGATGAATTTAAATATAAATGTTAGCCGTCAAAAAAAATTTGAGCCGACAAATTTTACAGCTGTCGTTTTTTTAAGTTCTCCTTTTTTATGAAAATCGATACACATATTATTAGGATGTCCATAGGTAGTTATTTAAGAAAAAGAATTGAGTTTAAGTGTGTGGCGCTGAGAAACCAGCATAACTTAAAAAGTAAAAAATAAATTTAAGAAGAAAAACTTTTTAAAAACAAGCTTTTATTTAAATACATTAAAAAGAATAAAAAGCTTTTTCTTTAAAACTTTTATTATGTCATTACACAATTTTATATTATATAAAAGCTTAGCGACAAGCGATTTGAGTGTACAGTTGCACTCATAAAAATCTGGTACAACTTTATCTTGTAATTCCTGTAATTCTTCTAATTCCAATATCTTGTAAACCTGTCATTATTCCCATCCAGGATAAATTCATCCAGTTTAGAAGAACATTTAAAAACGTTGTGTCCGAATCATAGACTTAAAATAAAATATAGACTGAGCATCTCATTCATAAATAGCTGGAACATGCGGTCAGACAATATCTTGTTATTGTTGTGTTATTGTTTTAGGTTATAACGAGTGCGACACGAGCGATAGATAGGTTGTCTCTGTCGTAACGGTCGTTCCCTGACGACTCTGCCGAGAAACACAACACTGTCTTTCGTTTCTCAAGTACACCTGAACTCTCCGTCTCATAGCCGGGTAATTTTTTTATTTTAATGAAGCTATAATTAAATTAAAAATATATCGTATTTAAACATTTTTATATTTTATTAAGATTTAGGACAGGTTTTTTAAATAAAAGTTTTAGAAAAAACGTCTTAGAGTCCAAAAAGGATAAAAATAATAAAATACACGTTATAGAAGAAATTTTATAATCGAAATTATGTAATTTTTGAAATTAATAATAAATTATTAATTTTAGTCAAACATTTACAACCCCTAATATTAATCAAAACAGGATCTATTCCACAGATATAATAGAGTCGGCGACAGGGAGAGAAAAAAAAATATGATTGTTGTAATGTTTTTTCTGGTTAAGTGATGTCTTATGTAAATTAGAGAAAACATAAATCTGTTCCATTAAAGCAAGGAAGATGATAGGAAGTGGATAAAATGAATACTACATTTATTTAACTCGGTACTGTCTTTATTATACGGGTGCGTCCCAAAAGTGGCTCATCCCCATAATTTTTTATATTTTCAAATAAAAAACAAGATTTAGCATGTTAGTATATGACATAAATTAGGATTGATTGACGCATTCAATTGTTTTTGGTCACTTCCTGTTTCACCGGAAATGACTATAACTTTTAATTTTTAAACGGCACCCTCGGTATATTTCTACTTTATTCGATAGAAAATGACACCCTGAATAGAATGACATATAATATGTCAACTTTTGACATTTTGGCATATGGTTTAATTGTAATTGTAACACGCGGTTCATAACGACAATTTGGCTCCAACTAACCAAATACCAAGTGTGTGGTATCAATATATTCATAATTATTATTATTATTATTATTCATATATTCATTTTTTCAAATATGCTAATTAGTCACCCTTGTTTCATTTGAAAAAATTGACATATGTATGATTAAAAATACGATTTGTACATCTTTTAACCGGCCTAGACAAGACACGAAACCTATTAGACGATCAAAACTATTTTTCCAAGGCTCCTTGATTAAAACTTAGTGTTTTTAACAACACCATGGCACCCTGGATTGAAATTTAAAATAGGATATGTTTTTAAGCGACAATGTCAAAAGTTGACATATGATATGTCATTCTATTCAGAGTGTCATTTTTTATCGAATAAAGTAGCAATATACCGAGGGTGCCTTTAAAAATCAAAAGATGTAATCATTTCGGTAAAACAGGAAGAGACCAAAAACAACTGAATACGTCAATAAATCCTAATTTATGTCATATACCTACTAGCATACAAATCTGTTTTTTTTATCTGAAAAAATAAAAAAGTTATAGGGGTGAGTCACTTTTGAGACGACCCGGTATATTAAAAAATATTGTTTCATAATGTAATATCATTTTAAAATTCTTGTATGTTATTTTAGATTCTGAAGATAATTTTAGAATAAACCGGAATATATTTTTGATAAAAATATTATTAATTATTAACAGGGTTATAATTATGATTTTGTTACAATGTAAGTAAGTAAATAATGTAATATAAGAGAAAAAATTCAGATTTTACATTTTACTAAAATATTATCTAAATAAGCGCCTTTCTACAACAACGCCACTGACTCCCAATGGGTAAATTGAGAGTTGCCTACCGGTCGAAAGTCGTTTCAAGACTTAAATGGATTATTTAAGTCAAATTTCTTGCAAATTTGGCACTGGCGAACCATATTTTATATTTTTTGAACAGAAAAAGTTAATAAAATAAACACTTAAGGACTACAAGCTAAGAAAATGCGTTAATACAGCCGGGGAGATAGCGGCAACAAAGCTTTACCGCACACGTGCGACACGTACTACAAGGTAATAAATGAATGAATAGGCTCCCGCGCCTCTAATCGGTGTTGTCATATTGTAAAGAACTTATCCTTATTAAACAGTATCCGACTTATAATTTAGTAGTATAAGGACTATTTAATACATCTATGGAATATTAAAACCTACTTTATTAATCTGTAGTATTAATATATAAATATATGTGTATAACAAGAAAAAAATATTGATAATATTAAAGACGTGACAACATAGGCTGGATGAGGAAGGCTCGGTCGACTGTACCCAGAAGTAAACATGAGTACAAAAAAGGTTGTTTGTCCGCGTTGAGATGTAAATAGTGTAGTCTATATTTTATTTTAAGTCTATGGTCCGAATATTACATACGGGTACTGAAAATTGCCAAAATGATCTGGAAAAACATCTTATTAAAAACGGCAGACCTTAATAATTAATAAAAAAAAGAGACCTCTTTTCTTTTCTCTCTCAATTGTCATGAGCTATCCATAAAAAATAAAAATAGATACGGATAATCAGAAAAACAGTAATTTAGAAATTAATCTTGTTTGTCATTTTGCAGGATACCTAATAATAAAAATTACTTTGAATGCCGTAGACAATGACTGAGTATTAAAACTAAAAGAATTTCGGACTTCCATTGTACCACTAAACTACAAAAACTAAATATATCACAAAATAAACAAAAATAAAACTAAAAAAATCAAAATATATCACTCAAGAAAAGAATAAAATAAATTAAGCCGCACGCTATTGACTCAAAGCTGCCGTAACTGTACGTTGTCGATGACAAAGACTACGACTGACTACGACACTGGTTAATTTCTGTCGCTGGCACCCATAATGGCGGCGTGCGCAAGGGTATGCGCGTAGCGTTCCCGCCAAAGCGAGTTGGCCTGCCGTGTGATTTATATGCCGTGCTAATACATAGTTTAGATAAAATTTCTAAGTTTTTTTTTCTAAGTCTTTTTATTGCCCGACGCACTTTTGCCGGACCCTGTATTACTCAGAGTCCTAAAAAAATAAAGTAACTCGCAAATATTTGTTTGTTTCTAAAAATATTCCGGAATATTCGGATTTTTTAAACTTGTAAGGTGACATTTTTTTGATCTGCATCAAATTGACTAACTTTTCCTCCATTTAACGAACCTTATATCTCATCTAGTTTCCAAGACTCCAATGATGAGGATAATAAGGGACACCCTGTACCTATATTTTAATTAATATGTAACAAATTTAAAGTTTTTTCTTCAGGACCAATACAAATTTGTCTATGACACTCTGGAAGAATACGTCACGTGTGGGAACTCGTGGTTCAGTGTGAGCGAACTATCTCAGAGACTGAAGCAGAAATCTCAGAGGAACACCGTGACTAAATTAAATGAGTACCAGAAGGAGTACATGTTGGTTTGCAAGCAAACACCTCGATTTACTATAGGGGACTGCGCTGGAGGGCACAGAGGAGACAATAGAAAAAAGAATAGGGACGTTTTGATTGTTCCTCGTAAGTATGAAACTTATTTATCAAATTATTTATTTAGATATCGAATGTACCCAAAAAAGGAGATTTGGTATTTTAGTACATATAGGGCATAAATCAGGATGATTGACGTATTTAATCACTTTTTATAACTGTTTCGCCGGAAATTACTACAACTTTTGACTTCTAAATTGTACCATCTGTATTTTTTTAATAGAATAGAAGAATATATTACATCTCTCCAAAAAAATCCTTTATGGGTATTTCGCCACTACACTGCAAGAAAATTGCTTGCCAGAAGTTATGTTTACAGTTATACAAATTTGCTTAACAAAGAAAAAAATGCTTAACGTTTTGGAAAGTTTATCTCTTTCCTTCGTCAGAAGCAAAAAATACAAAGAATAAAGAAAAGAACTATTTAAAATATTTAAATTGAACTATTCGAGAAAACTTTACTTTTTTAAAACAGATACGTCTACAAGAAACCGTTGACGTTCTGTTAAAATGACATTATATCAAGTTAAACTTCAAAATTAACAATTACTACCTGATAGCAATTACTTAATAAGGTAAAATCAAAAAGCCCCAAACTTTCTGTGTGATTATTTTTAAATTTTACTTATGTTATGTTTATTTTTGTTATGTTCTTTAAAATCAAAGAAGGGATTGCCATACATTACTAACATCTACAGATGTATGAGCAATACATTTATTTTTATTGGATTGAATTAAAAAAGCCTCTTTTATGTTCCTTTTAGAGGCTATCGCTTCTTTCATTATAATTTTGGCGTTATTAAAATTTATTCTGTGCCCTGTGTCCCATGAGTGCTGACAAATCTTAGATTTGTGAAAATCTCCCTTTCTTAAAGAATCTTGATGTTCTTTAATTCTAACATTAAGGGGCTAGATGTTTCACCAATGTAAAATTTATCGCATTCACATGGTATTTGGTATATTACATTTTTTGTTTGTTGTTCTGTATTCATTAGTTTAGTATGTGATAAAATGGATCTAAGTGTATTTTGTCTTTTGAAAGATATCCGTATGTTATATTGTTTTCCTATCCTTCTTATTTTTTCCAATATATTACATGTTAACTTTTGATATTTTCTCTTAAAAAATTAAATTTTAAATTTCCGCGTAGTAATTTCTTTTTTAGGTTTTTGAGGTATTTCCATAGCCTTATTTTCCATGAAATTAATAATATATTATTTTTTAGTAGCAGTATTTTTTTTGTTTACAGTATTTGGGATTTTGTGTTTTTGTCGTGAATGGTAGATAATAACTCTCTGCTGTTCTACCATGCATATTTCATAATTATATTCACATATAAAGTAAAATTCTTTCAAAATTTTCCATGATTCAGTGTTTTACTGCCTTACGGTTCATACATTTCAGTATTCTTCAAAAAATGTGGTCTAGACCATTAGATTTAGAGCATTTTTTAAAAACATAGAGAGTTCTACAGGGTGTCCCCAAAAAGTTACACATCAAAGTTGTGTTTTTTGTAATGGAACACTCTATATATTAATTGATTTTCGGATTCTAGAATGAAAATAAAGGTGAGTTTCATTAGAGAAGTATATGGCTAAAATGTAAGGTTGTTGATATATTTAACAATTTTTAAAAATAAAGAACAAATTTAAAATGTCAATAAATGCTACCTAAATTATAATTTATCCGGTATAACGTATTATGCAGATAAAATAACTATTGTACTTTAAATTACATTAAAATTTGACCCGAAAAGTTATACAGGGTGAGAAAAAATTAATATTGAACACTGGTCACATTTAGAGGCAATTTACTCCTCTACTTTAAATAGAATACCCTCTATATTATTTCAATTATCAATGAAGAATTCATATATTTTCAAAATACTATTAAGGTTGTCTACCTTTTAAACAACGATTTTCCTAGATATTTTCATTTCTATGATTTTGCGTCAGTAGATCTTTATTATTTGATAAATCTAGGTGGCTGTGATATACCTTTTGTTAATTTAGCAAAAATAGGAGGTTACAAAATAAGAGGTAATAAAGTTAAGAGGCATATATGTGAATTTATACTTTGAAAAGCATCCACAATCATTTCTTTCATGTTGTCAACAATCAAGTTTTGAAAACACTGTCTTTAGCATAAAATATCCCGATAAAAAAAACTCAAGACTAGATAAATCGAGAGCATTTAAGTATTCTATTAATTATTGGTGAATACACACTGCCAGTCTCCAACTAATAGAATTATATCAATTTCCTCTGATATACAGGGTTGTTCACCACATACGACGCATTTTACTAAATTTTCTGTTGCAATCATAAAAATTATACTATCTTATACAGAGTGTCTAAAAATTTATTTTAAATAATAACTAGTTTTAAACGGCAATAACTTCTTTAATTTAAATGGAACACCCTGTATATTTTATGAGAATCAGATGCACAATTTAATTGTCTATCAAATTATATTATATCATTTTTTACCTATGTCTTCAGGTTTTCGTAGAAAATGCATTTTCTTATAATTTAGACCTCAATTATCAATATACCCATGGAATATTGACATTTTAGATTATTTTTAAAGATGTAACAAACTGTTAAAGGGTACAGATACCAATATTGTCGATATAGTTCGTTTATGTCATTATAAAATAAAAAAACAATGTTTAAATATTTGTAGAAAGGACCAACTAATATGATTTCAGTATTCAAACTACATTAATGGACTGCTTGCATTGATTAATAATAATTGCTCCAAATACTAAAAACTGAATTTTGTATCTATATTAGACAGTGTGGTAAAAAGTAACACCTTAAAAATTTTATTTCATTTTTTGACGAATGCTTATTTATAACAACAGAGATGTTCATTTTCATAACTTATTATTATATTGATTTCGGATTCTAAATCCCCATTTATTTAGAATAATTTATTAACTAACACAATTAAATATTTTATAATTAATATTTGGACGGAAATACTGGTGGTATATTTAATTAATGGTACAGTCTTTTATAAAGATTTAAATAGTTTTATTTTTGTATACAAATACGCTGGTAATATTATCATTTTTAGCACCTGTACATTTTGTACATTTGTTGTTTTAAAAACAATCTAAAATGTCAATATTCCATGGGTATAGTGATAAATGAGGTTTAAATTATAATAAAATGCATTTTTTACGAAAACTTGAAGAGATAGGTAAAAAATGGTATAATACAATTTGATAGACAATTAAATTGTGCATCTGATTCTCCTAAAATATACAGGATGTTCCATTTAAATTAAACAAGTTCTTGCCGTTTAAAGCTAGAAATTATTTAAAATAAATTTTTAGACACTCTGTATGAAGTAGTATTACTTTTATTATTGTAACACAATAACTAATCAATAATTAAACTTCAGTAAATATTTAGTATTAAAAACTTTGATACCCTTGGAGAAATGAAGCCTTGAAATTTTTACTGCAATTTCACAAAATTGAAAATATTTCAAAAACGGTAAGGTTTAAGGGTGATAAACCTTAATCAAATTTACTTTTATTTTAATCGTAGAAACTAAAAATGTAATAATATACTGGGTGTTCCATTTAAAAAAATACAACTTTGATATTTTTTATTGATTTGGGACACTCTGTATGTTTTTAAAATATTTTTAAATTGTAGCTCTAATAGTCCTTCAACCAACACAAAACTTACAATTTGTAAAAATCTAATCGTTTAGCTACAATACTCCGTGTCGTATGTGGTGAACAACCCTGTATAATTTCTGAGAATTGTTTTTGTTTTAAGTGACAAATTGATAACTAGTTGTTAAAGTTAAACTAATTTGACATCTATCATCTATGTTGAAGTATCGTCAGACATATCACAGCCACCTAAATTTACCAAATTATAAAGATCTACTGTCACTAAATCATAAAAATGAAAATATCTAGGAAAATATTTGTTTGAGGGGTAGGCAACCTTAATAGTATTTTGAAGGGACATGAATTCCCCAATGAATAAATTTTCCTCATTAAATAAATTTTATTCCTGAATACTGGGTTAACTTTATACAAAAGACAACAAAAAAATTCGTAGTAAAAAGGATGAATAAAAGTGATTTTTTCCCTTTAGATATTTACATGACGTTTTAAAAGACCAAAAAAAGATAGCCTAGGCAACCCCTTAAAATGGCGTGACGTTTGATTCAGTTACAACAAAGGATGTAGTAGGAGTTTTTCTTTCAAAAAACCAGAAGCAATGAATTTCTTTTTGAAGTTTCTGAAAATTTAGCCACAAGAAAACATGTCATTTTGAATACTGCCTATTTTAATACTACTTTGTAACAATCCAGGGAAAACCTGATGACAGTATTGGAGTTTATACCACCTGTAATAGCGATGTAAAGATCTCGATATGCTGCCCGATATTTTTTATTAGTCCCTAAATAGGACAGCTTCTCGATGATGAAATTAACTAGTTAGGGGAAATTGAATATCCTCCCGTCCGCACCCAATTTCCCGATGAGGCCGTCCCGGCCGACGTCCATTTTCCTCCTCCTACCTTCCTGTTCGATCTAATTAAATAATTGGCTTCGATTTTCCATGCTTGGCTGGCTTTTCCGAACCGATAACTTCATCGAGAGGTTCAATCTTGTAGTCTAGTTTTTCTGTCGTAATGGACTGGACATATAGGAAATGAGGCAGATCAAATTAACTTCATTCTTTTTAGTTCGTTGATTACTGAAACACTAAAGACAGGCATCTTAAAATTTAACTGTATTGTAAAGTTCAATAAATTTTGTTGTAGCGGGCCGATTTTGATGATTTTTTAAACTAAATATGGTACTACCTGCTGGAATGGCGCAGGTTCAAAAAGCGATAAAACCTGCGGCGAAATAAAGGTTGATTCTCACTATACCTTCCCTTTCCTTTCCGTTTTCCTTCTTCCCTTCTAAACTACTCTTCCTTTCTAAACTATAATTATTAAAAAATATATTTCGAAATCAAGCACAGAGTTTAAGAGGAAATTGATCATAACTTATTGTATGTACAGGGTGGGTCAAATTCGACGCTTTTAAATGGAAACACCCTTTTCTATAGGAGATAGACGAAAACTAATATCGGTGTCTGGAGCTCAATTTTCATTAAAAACATGATGATGAAAACCGCACATCAATATTTGTTACCGTTTCGGAGTTACGGGGTGTTTTTCAAAAATGTGCATTTTTAACAAATCGCTGTAACTTTTTACTATGGAAATTTCTATGAAAACATTTCCAAAGCACCTTTTTACATAGAATTTAATGGTTTAAGTATAATTTTTTTAAAACTAATAATTTAAGAGTTATCAACAGAAAAATTGATTTTTTATTTGGGACACCCTCTATATTTTTAATTAACTGAAAAGAATTTAAAATTACCTTTCCAAAAATATAGCACACTTGATATTTTGTTATAATCCCCTTAGAAATACAGAATTTTTAAAAGTTCGCCACTTTTAACTAGTAGGCTTTGGACCCCTTATTGATGATATGCCCTTAATGGAACTAGAAAACATATTTTTCCAGCATGACGACGCACCGCCTCTGAACGCTGAAGTTATCAGCAAATTTTTGCAGCCAATTTCAAGAATAATTGAATAGCTAACCAAGATCGCAGCCGTTGGCAGTCGAGGCCGACTGACTTAGTGCCCATGGATCTAATCCTATGGATATATTTGCGGAAGAATAAAGGTTCCTTATTCTTCCGTATAATCTAGACAAGAATTAGAAATATTTAGCAGTTATGAGAGGGTATCTTTCACCCCAATTGAGTTAATGAATTCCGCGAGAAATGTTCAAAAACTGCCCCGTCTGTCCATAACAGAAGACGGTCGATATGTCGAACACCTGTAGCAAAATCTCATGTCTTGGTTTGCTATTTATTTTTATTGTTATTAGATATAGTTTAAATGTGTTGATGTTGGTGTTGAAGTTCTTGTTATAAAATTCTGCATCTCTCAGTGCCGTTCAAAGCCTACTTATTTAAAGCGGGCGAATTTTTATATACTCCATATCTCGAAGGGGAATCGAGCAAAATATCAAGTGTGTTATATTTTTGGAAAGGTAATTTTAAATTCTTTTCAATAAATTAAAAATATACAGGGTGTCCTATATAAAAATCAAATTTTCTGTTGATAATTCTTAACTTATTAATTTAAAAAAAAAATACTTCAACCATTAAATTCTACGTAAAAAGGTGCTTTGGAAATGTTTTCATAAAAATACAAAATTTTCCATAGCAAAAAATTTACAGCGATTTGTTAAAAATGCATATTTTTGAAAAACACCCCGTAACTCCGAAACGGTAACAGATATCGATATGCGGTTTTCACAATCATGTTTTTGACAAAAATTGAGCTCCAGACACCGATATTAGTTTTTGTCTATCTTCTATAGAGAAGGGTGTTTCCATTTAAAAGCGTCGAATTTGACCCACCCTGTACATTTTCCCGTTCCCTTAATTTTAGAAGTATGTTATACTATTATATACAGAGCGTTGTATATAAAATAATACAGTTAGTATTGGCTACTGTTAAATAACACACCATCTATAAAAAAATTGTTAGAGAATGTGCCCAACTAAAAACGCCAATCGACTTGACAAAGCGTTTTTTCGAACACGTCCCCAATTATTTTCTATTGAATTTATTCCATTTGGTTGATGCACACTATACAGGGTGCTACAAATTCGAGGTACGAGCATTGGTATCTCGGAAACCGTAATAGATACGAAGATGGTTAAATTGGGGCAAAGTTGCGCCTTGAGATGTTCAACAAGATGCCATCAAAAAATTTTTAAAAAGAGTTTTTTAGAAAAAAGGGATTTTTTGGAAAATAAATTTTATTTTTTCCTGTCGTTACTTTTTAGAAAATCAAAAAACTAATTACACATTCTCATAGCCACTTTATTAGGACTATCTGACAGACTGATAGATTTTCAAATTACCTAATAATTTGTGAGATAGAAAGGCCAACTTAATTTTTTTAAATACGGACCTGCATTTTTTATTTCAGGTTTTGAAAGAACTCGGTCTCCTGAGTATAATGTCACACTGTATACTTTTTTTTGTTTTGGGTACCTTAACAACAACAAAACTATTTAATTATTATTTAAAATAATTTCAAGTGCGACTCTGTTTTTTTAAATTATTTAATCTGATTATATTCATAGCAACAATATTGATCAGCGCTAATTAACACTGAATAAGGAAAATCGAGCCAGTTCAAAGATTCAAGTAAATAATATTCAGGTCAGGAATTTAAAGATATTATTTTTAACTATTTTATAGTTAATTTGGAATCTCAGTGTACGATCTAATAACATTAATATTAATTGTAGTTATTATAAATAAATCAACTTCTATAAACTAGTTTCTAATGCTCTACATGTTCGAAAGGGTTACCACTCTCCCTAATGCACTAATTTATTTTTTGTTCAAATATGAAAAGCACCAAGATCTACGAGATGGGGACGAAATACGGCGGCAGGCGTTTTGTTTTGATATGATGGAAAGAGCAAACACGGATAGGCAATTTTTATAAATAAATAAATAAATGCCTTTATTGTCAAAAAATTTCAATTTTCAATTTGTAGACAAAGGTAAACTAACAAACAAAGTAAAAAAACAAGGTACACAAACAAACAAACAAAAGATAATACAAAACATTATACAAATAATATTGTCAGTCTTATTGTTAAAATAAACATTTATAAATGTTTACAATGTCAAAGAACAAAAAAATAAAAATAATATTCAAAAATATTTAGTTAGTTTATAGTAAATATCAATGACCTCTAAATAAATCTATTTCGATGTCATTAGTAAATATAGCAATAGCAAACATTAGACCAGTGTTTACAAGATCAAATTCGATTTTCAAAATATAATTCATTTACGGCGTAGAAAGCCTTGTCTAGTAAATAAGAGTTCAATGCTTTGCGATATGAAAAAAAAATGATGTTATGGATTTGATTTCAAATGGCACGTGATTGTGCATTTTTTTCGAGTTGTATAATATTGAACTTTTAACTATCTCTGAGAGTGGGGTCGGTAGATAAAGATCTTGCTCCGCGTTCCTGAGTGGATAAGTGTGAGATGGCCTTTCTTGAGAAGCTGATACATGTTTACGTATTAGGCAAATGGATTCAAATATAAATAAGGAAGGGAGAATCAATATTTTTAATTCTTTAAAAAAGCCCCGGCAATGAGTTAAGCTGTTTAGTTCCAGTGAATATCGAACAGTTCTCTTCTGGAGCTTGAAAATACGGTCAAATTGAGTCGCACAACACGTACCCCAGAATGGAAGGGCATACCTGAGGTGCGACTCAAAAAGTGCATAATAAACAGTTCTAGCCATCTAACACTGACAAGTTAAGCTCCTTAGAAACAGACCTTAATGCAAAACAGGCAGAGCTCAATTTTTTCGACAAAGCTTCGATATTTATGTCCCATTTCAGAGAATTGTCCACAACAAGCCCTAAGAATTTTACAGATTTTACGACGTCAATGGTGGTGTTGTTAAGTACAAAAGGCTGCAACGAGTTTTTATACGACAAAGCTTTAGTTTTAGAAATGTTGAGACTCAGGAGGTTCGAATCGCACCAAGATTTAATGGTGATTAAGTCATTTTAAAAAACATATGTTTCACTGACGAATGCCCGTTTACCTTAAATAATGTTCAAAATTATCGATATTGGATCAAAGAAAACCAACACAGGTTTGTCGAAACAAGGACGCAATATCCACAGAAAGTAAATGTTTGGGCAGGGATATTCGGACACAATATTATCGGGCCATTATTTCTTACGCGAAATTTAAATGCAGAATATTATTTGGAACTACTCGAAAATCATATTTTACCTGCTTTACATGATGCCGCTAGGAAAAATCAGGAAGTTTGGTACCAAATGGATTGCTGCCCGGCACATAGTACCCTGGCTGTTCGGGAATATTTAGACAACAGTTTTAACGGAAACGTTATTGGCCTAAATCATATAGTAAATTAGCCAGCAACGTCTCCTGATATTTCGCCAAATGATTTCTTTCTCTGGGGCCATTTAAAAAACAGGATATACAAGGATAAAAAATATCCAAATCTACACGAGTTAAAAAATGCTATTTCTGCCGAATGCAATAGAATTTCAGTTTACCAACTAGCGAATGTAAGAAGAGAATTTTATGATCGTCTGGGTTATTGTCTAGCAGTCGATGGATATACCTAAATTAATAAGTTATTGAATATTGTAAGAATACTATAATTAACCTTGTAATTGATTACTTTATATTACTTTAATTCATATTAATTTGTATTTATAAATACATCTTTAAGATTTCCGATGTAGGAATAAGTTTTCAATAATAATAAAGCACTAAATAGGTAAATTTCTGAAATAACAACTTCATTTGACAGTTATCTTTTACCTTGACTGGTGCTCATAAGTAAATACAGGGCCATAAGAAAGGAGAAATATTTAAAAAGAAATCGGCGATAACTCGTAAACGAGCTAATCAAAAATATCTAAAGTTATTGGTTTGAATGTGGGTTTTAGTGCTCTCCAACAAACCTAAATAGAATTATTCTCTAAAATAATTAGGGAAGTCAATAATTTACCCCATTAAAATTTACATGGGATTTATTACAATGTCCCCTCCGACGATGCAACATCCGGTATATAGACATCTTTTTATATTTTATATTCTACTGCAATGTCTTTTAATGTTCCCTACAGAAATTGTTTGTTACTACACTTAATTATTCTTTGTTTCAGCCGATAACTTTAGGCCTTATCTCACTTCATTCCAGGGTAATAGTTTTACTGATTACATAAACGCCGTCTTCGTAGATGTAAGTGCCGAATAAAACACATCTTTGTTTTAATTACTCTAATAAGAATTAATATCTTTTCTGTGTAGGGCTACACTAAGCCACGGGAATATATCGTCACTGAATGGCCCTTAAAATCGACACTGGGAGAATTCTGGTCTCTAGTGTACGATTACGAGTGTTCTGCAGTGGTAGTGTTATGCGTTCCTCCACATAATTCGGTAAGTATAAGATATCATTATTTTTAGAAATTGCAGGAAAGGATTTGTTCTCTTATACCTCTATTATAATATCTGTCAAAATTTATATGAATCTCTAGATAATAGTTTTGTCCAAAAATTGCCCAAATATTTGAGAAATCCTTAAAAATTAATAATTTTTAATAAGCCAGTATTGGTTTGGCTTGAAGACATTGGACAAAGATGAAATAAAATGCTTTTTTCCATAGCAACTGTTAAAATTGCCTTATATCTATAAAAATAGTAGAGAAAATGGTACTTTAACCGCAAGGGTAGATTAAATGATACTTTAACAGCGAGGATAGGTTAAAAACTTTATTTCTTCTCGCACGTTTTTTAATTGCTTCCATTTTTGAAAATTTTTGTATTCCCTTTCAAGTTATTCGGGATTTAAATAGAAGTAGTTTGGATATGGCGTTTGTCGCCTCAGCCTGAATATCTGTTGGTAATTTACTTATTTCGATTTGAGCCATTTCTGGCTCCAATTCAATCAGCAATCGGCACGAAAGATAATTAAAAAATATTGACTCAAAACTGACAATTAAACAGACAGCTTTATTTATTTGTCAAATTACATAGAAACCAACGTCAACCTAGCACAATATTTTTCTACTCGTAATAAATTCCTTGAAATAATTTTAGAATATTTTTTAAAACGTAACTCGCTATGGAAAAAAATATTGTTTTATACATGACGATAAAATTGCATTATCGTCTTGTACAAAAAATAACTACTATTGTTTATGCGTTTATACAAAACACTTACTTAAATTACAACTTGTAAAGATAAACTAGTTCAATCAAACACTTAGTTTCATTTGTTAGTTACTTTATTTATATTATTTTTTTATTTTCAGCAACAATTTCCTTCCTTTTGGCCAGAAGGTCGCACACCCAAAAAATACGGTCCTGTCTTTACCATAGATCACATCTCCCACAATCACTACTCAAACATCAAGACCTGGGTCTTTAGGATAAACAAAAAGGTATTTATTTCAACAGAATAACCCTCAAAAACTCAAAATTTTAAAAATATTTTAATCAATTTTATAGATTGTGTCATTGACTGAACTCATGGCTGGTGTTAAGGCCCCTCCAAAGACAGTCCAACTGTTTCAGCTGATGTGTTGGCCAATGGGTCATAAGGTACCTACGTCAACCAATTCTCTGGTGGAGTTGATGAATATGGTAGAAAGATGGAGACAGCGTACAGATTATGGACCCGTGTGTATCGTATCCCCGTAAGTTACGATTAGTTATGAAATTTATTTTTTTTGAGGTGGATTTAAGACAAAATTATTAAAAAAACCCTAGATCATATATACTTACGTGGATAAATCAAAGCCATAAGTTTAGCATTAAAAAATATGTCTCCAACATCACGCCATTTCTTATGAAACGTTCAATAGGTTTGTTTTTTCCGAGGACTTTTTTTTTACTTTGCGCCATGCACATTAAAAGTTGCACGTATTTCCAAAATAATCACAATTTTATACGGTTTAGAAAGTACAAATTTTACATTGTTATGGAAACCAACTTTTCATTGTCATCATATTTTCATAATTATGTCATAACAGTGAAGTATATATACATAATGAAGCGGGGAAAGCACCGCTTCCCTAAACATTTTAAGGATAAAAAAATAAATAGTTAAACGTTAATAATACTATTATTTTATAACAAAAGATTAATTTAATTTGTTAAAATTATTTATTTGAAACCTTACATAAACGTAGTAAATTTAATTAGCCTTTTACTGCATGGATGCGCGCCTGGAAATCGCCGCCTTCCCTCCTTCATGCAGGTGTTATTGACCTCTAACACAAACGACAAATTTAAGCCGGAAAATCGCGCACAGTTGCTAGCCACGGCAGCGATCTTTCGGCCGCCTTCCACGACTTTTAATTTATCGGGACGGATTCGCTTGCGATTTTATAGGTAATATTGTATTTTTTTCGGATTTAACTTAGTATTTACTGTTTCGTTTGTAATGGAGGGTCAAGAAGGACAATCTTCTGCTTCTGCTAGTGTGGACAATAATTTAGACTGTGTTCGTGTTGTATGTGTGTTATTAAAAAAGGGATTTTCTAGTCGGAACATCCAAGAAATAAGTGACATTATTAACTTTGGTAGGCCAACGGTTCCTATCAAGAAAATGTAAAAGTAATGGCTCGAAATAGGGCTTTTTACCGATTCGCTTCCCCGCCTATAATTGTCACCGCACGCCGCTGTGTCATAATATTATTTCCATTGTGTAAAGATGCTTGTTTTTTGCGTTTTTTTTTTATTTTAAAAATTGTATTAATTACCCTTTTATCGACCGCTTTTATATAGCCAAGGATGCAAGTGTGTTCAGTGATAAATTAATTTTAAGTTTGTGGAATAATTATATTTCTATTTTTTTCGTTGGACTTCTTTTCGTATACCTCGTAAAAATGACTAGAAAGTGTTTGGTGTGTGGAAGTTCTAATATAAAAGTTCCAGAACTATCTTTTCATAGGCAAGTAAAGTATTCAGTTGTTCTTTTATTGGACAGTTAAAGCAAGGCACAATACATATACGCATCTCTCGACACGTATCGCAGAAACCTACGTTACGTCTGCCGTTGTGTTGTCGTGTAAACAAGAGTTAAAGCAAGTATTTTGACGTACGTAACGCAAATGGTACATTTGTAATTCTAAATTATTTTGTAAAACAATTTATTTAATTTTAAAACTGAAAATGGATATATATTATTCCATTGATTCCACAATAAATTTATAAAAGTTCGAAAAATGAAGAAAATTATAAATGGAAATTATTTTATTACAGAAAGTAGTCCTTACAACTTAAAATGCTTTTAGTAATAAAAATATTGTAAAACAGACACAGTTTTATGATTATTTATTAGATTCCATCTTTTAGAATCCTCATATGGATTTTGGCTAAGAACTAGCATTTAATGAAATAGATTCCAAAATGAATTTATTATGATGCTTAACATTTTCATACTAATTTATTGTAGTAAAATAGGCCCAGTTCTGTTAACTGGCCCCAAAATTTATGAAATAACTTAATTACTAGCCAGTTGTGGAAACGAGTTGTTTGTGAATTTGTACGTTCGGCATCATTCGGATGAAAATCGAAACTCCTTCGGCTCGATACGTTTGCGTTTTGCACGTACGTAAAGGCACGTAAAGATACGTATCACATATCCGTAAACGCAAGTGAATTTCTCACTGCGCAAGCGTACATGTCAAACGATACGTTTACGTCTATGTCTTTGGCCGTGCTTTAACTGTCTATTTATATTAAACTACATACTTTCTTTATTTTTTTTTATAAAAATTTTTCATTATATATTTTTTTATATAATTTTTGTGACAGTAAACATTCAATTCACTGTTCAAATATATCATCATCATCATCATCATTTAGCTTATACCGTCCACTGCTGAACAAAAGCCTCCCTTAACTCTAGCCATTTCCTTCTATTTTGTGCCACTTGAATCCAGTTTCCACCCACCCTCTTAATGTCATCTGTCCATCGACTAGGAGGTCGTCCTCTGCTTCTATAGGCCTCGTGTCTCGGTCTCCATTCCACAAGTCTCTTTGTCCACCGTCCATCTGTCATCCTAGCCACATGTCCTGCCCAATTCCATTTAAGATGTAAGACAGATATCACCGCATCTCTTACTCTTGTTTTTCGTATTGTATGATTGGGTATTTTATCTCTGAGTGTAACTCCCAACATAGACCTTTCCATTTTCTGTTGCATGACCTGTATTCTATGTATGTTCTTTTTTGTCAAAGTAAGCGTTTCGGCTCCATACGTGAGGACAGGCAAGACACACTGGTTAAAGATCTTTCTTCTTAAACATATGGGAATATCAGATCTCAGTATATGCCTTAGTTTGCCAAATGCCGCCCACGACAAACCTATTCTTCGTAGAATTTCGTGGGTCTGATTATCCCTTCTAATACCGATCTCATGCCCTAAGTATTTATATATATGCACTTGTTCCAAAGGTATGTTATTAATGTTTAAATTTCCACTTAGTACTAGGTTTGTCATGTATTGTGTCTTTGACAAGTTAATTTTCAAACCGACTTTTTCCGAAGCATCATTCAGCATATCCAGCATATTCTGTGCCTCCTGTATGTTGTCTGTTATTAAAATAATGTCATCTGCAAAACAGAGATGATTTATCAATTTGCCATCGATGTTAATTCCTGTTGAATCCCAGTTTATCATTTTTAGCATACTTTCTAGCACAGCAACGAATAGTTTAGGGGACAGTGTGTCGCCTTGTCTTACCCCTCGATCGATATTGAATTTATCTGTGCATTGATTTGTCGATATTCTGACGTTTGCCGTGGCATTATCATATATATGTCTTATGATTGAGGAGTATCGATGATCGATGCGACTCTCACTTAGTGTCTCTAGAAGCTTCCGCTGGTCTACCGAATCGAAGGCCTTCTCGAAATCCACGAAGACAAGCATTAGTGGTCTATTATACTCAATGCATTTCTCGATAAGGACCTTGACTGTTAGAAGATGGTCATTTGTTCCGTAACCTGATCGGAAACCTGCTTGTTCGCTCGAAAGAAAAAAGTCTATTTTATTTGTCAAACGCTTGGTGAGTATTTTAGTAAATAATTTGTATACGTGGCTAAGAAGGCTGATGGGCCTATAGTTTTTAAGGTCTGTAACGTCACCTTTCTTGTGTACAATAATGATGGTTGCGTTGTTCCACTGTGATGGGGTTATTTCTTCTTCAATGCATTTATTAAATAGGACATTTAAAGCTTTGATGATTTCTGGTCCTCCTTCTTGGATTGACTCTATTACCAGTCCATCGTCGCCGGCAGCTCTATTGTTTTTCATATCTCTAAGGGCACTGATAATTTCTTCCTCGGTTATTTCTGGAATTTCTTCCGACCCCTGATTTATTACCTTTCGGATGTCGGTTCTGATCCCCTGCTGTTTTGATGTGTAAAGTTCTTGATAGAAAAGTTTAATAGAGTGTAGGATTTCCTGTTTGTGTGTTACTATGTTGCCGTGCATATCCTTGATCTTTTGTATTTCTTTTCTTCCCATTGTACTATTTCTCAATATCTTCAAACTTTGATTCTTCTCTATGACTTTCCTAATTTTTTCCGTATTCTGTTGCCTCCTATGCTTTCTGATTTCTTTGGATATCTCTCTGTTTAAAGTTCTCTGTTCTTGTGTACTCTTGTCCTCCATATCTCTTCTCTGTTTCATTAAAAGTTTTGTTCTTTGATTCAGTTTTTGTTCTTTTACTTTTTTGGGACAACATTTTTCGATAGCCGTTTGAGTGGCCCCTTTGATGTTTTCGTATATTTCGTCTATCGTAGTAGTATTTTCATAATTTAGATTTGAGGCTATACATTCCTTATAAGAATCTTTATTTTCAGGGGCTACCCATTTCTTGTGGTTTTTCTTGTTAGTTCTTTCCTTCTTTATATTTATTTTTATCTCGGCTTTTACAATGCGGTGATCGCTTCCTATCGAAAATCTGTTTAATACACTTACGTCTTTGATTATATCTTTTCTATTGCTGATTATGAAATCTATTGCGTTTTTGGTTTTGCTATCTGGACTGGTCCATGTCCACTTTTTGCTGTTTCTTTTCTTGAAGAAGGTGTTCATTATATATAATTTGTTGTGGTGTGCGAAATCTATCAGTGTATCACCTCTTTCGTTTCGGCTTCCCAATCCATGATAGCTGACTGAAGTTTCCGCTTCATCTTGTTTGCTACCAACTTTGGCATTAAAATCTCCAATTAACATTGTATAGTGTGTTTTTCCATTTTGTAGAGCAGTGGATACATCTTCGTAAAAGTTCTCCAATTCGTCATCTGTACTTTCGGTAGTTGGTGCATATGCCTGAATAACCTTTACAGAGTATTTTTTATTTAATTTGATTATTAAACATATGACTCGTGGGCTTATGTTTTTGACATCTACAATCATATCTTTGTATTTTTTGTGGACTAGGATTCCAACGCCTCTTATGGCAGTTTCTTCACCTGAGTAGCATAATGTATTTCCGGACTTCAAAATAACCTGTCCCTCTCCTATTCTGCGGGCTTCACTTATACCCAGTATGTCCCATTTTATATTCTTAAGTTCTTCCTCCAGTTCTATAAGTTTTTCGTCCGATGACAGTGTTCTGGCATTGTATGTTGCAATATATAGTGAGTGTGGTCTTTGGCAGCTTCTCGTTATTTTTGTTGTTGGTGCAAGCGAATTTTTGCCTCCCCCAGAATCCTCGAGGCAGACCTTTTTCAAGGTGTGGGAGTTGACATTCGCTCTACCCACCTGGGGTACACTTTCCTTTTCTGTTTTAGAATTCGCCATGTCTTTGGGGTTTTTAGCCATAATCTTCCACGTTGGCCAAACGTCTTGAAAGATTGGATTTGATATAAACAGGGAAATTTTTTAGGTTTGGACAGGAACTGAGGATAGGACAATGGTTTCCCCTGTATGGAATTTGGAGATAAACCAAGGCTCACGTAGGCAGGGGCGCATCCCTGAAGTAGATCTGTCACCTATCGGGATCATAAATGAGTACCTACTCGCTACCATCGTTCAAATATATGCATTTTACAAATTAAATTTTTAAAATTAATGTTCAAATTTGGCGCGTGGACGATAGGCCCTCGACAAGGATAGACAGAGTAGAAGCACCGCATGTGCAACAAAAAAAAAGAAGATAAATGGAAGTCGTTGATATGTTTGCGACAGTTTCCATAGTGATTTACTTATCCACGAAGTATATATGATCTAGGAAAAAAATGATTTTTTTTGGGATGAAACAAATAATTTTAGAATTTTCCTAAAATATTCGTGGCTGAAAATTGGTTTTAAAATATAGGTATGTCTGTAAATATCTTCTTTGACATAAAATTAAAAATGTTTTAAAATTGGTTGTTAAACTTAACGCACAAGGTGTTCTATTTTTGTGTGTTTTATAGGGTTTTTCATTTATGAATTACTTCGTTTTGAATTATTTTTCGTTTATGAATTTTAGAAATATTACTCAAACTTATGTTATTTTAAGCGGGACACCCTATATATTATTTTTTTTAATACATTTGCATTGTAATGAGGTTCAGGGTCTATTAAAAATATGTTAATATTTTTTTTATAGTTCTTTCTCTTTATATACAGGGTGGCGCGCCTCATTCGCCTCGGTTGATTATACGAAAACGGAAAGATGTAGAAACAAAATATTTTATGGGTATATGTGGGGAGGTAATGTGCACAATTTAAAATTATTTTTAAATGTACAAGGTGTTTCAAAACTAAGATCCATACCAAAGTTATATTTTTTCTTATGGAACACCCGGTATTTTATTCCATTTTCGGATTCAAAAAAAGGTTTTTATTATAAGGGTTAAATATGTTTAAAATCTTTGGTTTTTGAGATATTTAAAGATATTTAAATTTGCTTGCTACAATAGAATAGATTATTAACACCCTGTACATTACTTTTCAGAATTAGTTCTTGTGCTGAGTTTAAAGGTAGAGAAATAAACTTTACAGAAAAATGATATTCCTTCCTTAAATGTATACAGGGGTATAAAAATTGCTGGTCTATTTTAAATATTTATTTTACATAAAAACTTCGTTATTTCAAATGCAACACTATGTATTTTTTTAAATAAATGGAAGCCGATTTAAATGCTCTTTCAAACTATATTACGGTTTCCTATACCTATCTGGCTCAGATTTTGAATAAAAGGTGATTTTTCAATAAAATTGTAATCAAGATATTCTAGTGACAGTTAGTAGCTATTTTCAAAATGGAAATTAGTTTATGGACTTATTTAAATTTATACCAGTTGACTTTTATTTAATTGACCTACAATAGTTTAATAAATAATATTTATTAAATATGTGTTTATTATTCTATCAAGAAAAACGAACAAGTAGTTCTTTGAATTATTTTACGATGACTTAGATATATGCATTTTCTATAAAATAGCCAATAACGGCAAATTAATTTTATTCACTTCCAACGACAGGTTTCTGCCTAATAGGTTTTTTATAAACCACACTACCAACTCTGCGAAATAGGACAAGAAGTTTTTCAAAGAAACGCTTATCAGGAAGATTCCTATTTGGATATCTTTGAGCATAATACCAAATAATATCACTAGTAACATATCTATTCGTTCCGCCAGCAGATACTGCTTTATTTTTCTTGATAAAATAATGAATACTTACTTATTAAACTATTGTAGGTAAATTTAAGTAAACTGTTATAAATTATAAATAATAATGTCCATAAACTAATGTCGACTTTGAAAATAGTTACTAACTGTCACTAAAAAATTGCCATGGCGACACCAGCCATCTTTTTTTTAAACCAATTTTATTTAAAAATCGTTTTTGATTCAAAATATCAGCTAGATAGGTATAGGAAACCCTAATATAGTTTGAAAGAGCATTTGAGTCTGCTTCGATTTATTTAAAAAAATACAGGGTGTTGCATTTGAAATAACGAAGTTTTTATATAAAATATATCCTTAAAATAGATCAGCAACTTTTGATAGCCCTGCATAAATTTAAGGAACCAATACCATTTTTCAGTAAAGTTTATTTCTCTACCTTTAAACTCAGCATAAGAATTAATTCTGAAAAGTAATGTACAGGGTGTTAATAGTCGATTCTATTGTACCATGCAAATTTATATATCTTTAAATATCTCAAAAACTAAAGATTTTAAACATATTTAACCCTTATAATAAATGCCTTTTTTTGGGCCCAAGAATCCAAAAATGAAATAAAATACCGGATGTTCCATAAGAAAAAATATAACTTTGGTATGGATCTTAGTTATGAAACACCCTGTATATTTTAAAATAATTTTAAATTGTGCATATTGTCTCCCCACATATACCCATAAAATATTTTCTTTCTACATCGTTCCGTTTTCGTATAATCAACCGAGGCGAATGAGGTGCGCCACCCTGTATATTTTTCCAAAATAACCACAAAGAAAGTCTCCAAAGAATATTTTATGAAAAATTTTCATATTTTACCTACTTACTTTTATACGAAAAAAAAAGAACAAATATATTTCCTTCTTTTGTATTTTCTTCTGTTTTCCCTCTTTCGCGTTGACATTCTAAAAAGAAGCATGTTTTTTTACTAAAAAAGGATTTGCTCGCTGACTTGAGATAAAGCTTCCTATTTTTCTTTGGAATTCTATTTGATAGACAACAAAATATTTCGTGTAGAGCTCAGGAAATTGCCTCTGCATATTTAATTTTAAATAAGGCATTCGATTTTTGAAGCAGAAATACAGGGTGAGTCTTAAATAAAAATAAGTGCAAATATTTTAGGGGTATTATATTTCGACCGCTGAAATACGATTATGTTTTTTTTTCGCGAAAAAAGAATCGCTCAGTGATCCATGATGTGACACTCTTGACTGGTTGTTGTTATGAAGGCTTTTACACACTGTAAGAAATTTGTTGGCTACTCCGAACTTTTTTATAATTGCCCAAAGTGCATCTCTGTTCACAGAGTCGAAGGCTTTTGTTAGATCGATGAATGCAACATAAAGTTTAGACTGCTGCTCTTTTACTTTTTCCTGTAGTTGGCGGATGGAAAATATGGAATCGACAGTGCCACGGTTGGTGCAAAAACGCGTTTGCGATTCTGGGAGGATTTTTTCTATATGTGGGTGCAGGCGATTTGACATGATTTTTGCAAGAATTTTTCCTCCAATAGCCAACAGTGAAATTCACCGGTAATTTCCGCAGTCTGATGCACTTCCTTTGTTCTTAAATATATTCACTATATTCGCATTGCAAAAGTCCTGAAGTACCTCTCCGCTTTCCCATATGACATCGAAGAGAGTCTTAAGGTGACCAATAAGTTCTTTACTTGCACACTTATAAATTTCCGCCGGGATCTTGTCACAACCAGCTGATTTGTTGTTTTTAAGCTATTTTATGGATGCAATTATTTCCTGTTCTGTTATTGGGGTATCTAATACATCGAGGCTGTTATACTGAGGTATTGTGTTTAGTGCTTCCATATTGGGGTTGTTTTCCTGGTTAAGAATATGGCTGTAATGCTCTTTCCAGCGGTTTCTAATTTGCTCTTCCTCTTTTAGAAGTTTGCCATTTTGTGCCATGATTGGGCAGCTTACCTTCTTAGTTGGACCGTATACTTCTTTTACAGCCTCGAAGAATTTACAATAATCGTGATACGTGGCGTACTCCTGAATCTGATTAGCCTTGTGTGACAACCAATCATCCTTTAATTGGTGCAGATTTCTTCGCAGCGTGTTGTTGGCTGCTTTAAAGTTATCTACCAGCCTTGGATTGTGTGGATTTGCAGTGACTGCTTGCATACAAACAATTCATTTTCACTACAGCGGCAGAGCAAAAAGAAAACCCAAAAGGAAGCCGAAAAAATAATCGCGGTTAAACTGGTCTTGGGATTTAATCACTTATCTAAACAAAATTTATTCGAAAAATTAGATTAGCTGATTGGTCCATTTCACGATGAGGGAAATAATCATGTTTAAACGCACGTGCCATGTACAACGTTTTATCTACAACCTACAACCTTTTTGCCCTTGTATAGGTACCATTTAAGTTGTTTTAACGCAAAATAATTGTTTAATGGAAAATAAATTTCTTGCAGTTTTTAGGTATATAATAAAATTATATATAAGAGTTTCTTGCCTTGAACTGCTAGTATAGAAATTAATTCCACGCTGTGTTCGACATAATGTGGATCAGATCAACCTGCTCTCACTACCGGTTTCGGGGCCCTACCCCATCATCAGGTGAGCTTGGGCGTTTCCACAAAATGTCGAGCACAGCGCAGAGTATGCAAATACTTTGTGCAATGAGTATACAAATACTTTGCGCAATGGTAGTACTTTCGTACCACTGAGGCAAAACTATCGTTAGTAAATAAAGGCTTTTTTCGGCTAGACTAAATTATATAATGGAAAATAAATTTCTTGCAGTTTTTAGGTATATAATAAAATTATATAAGAGTTTCTTGCCTTGAACTGCTAATATAGAAATTAATTCCAACGACCCAATCTCGCCTGATGATGGGGTAGGGCCCCGAAACCGGTAGTGAGAGCAGGTTGATCTGATCCACATTATGTCGAACACAGCGTGGAATTAATTTCTATATTAGCAGTTCAAGGCAAGAAGCTCTTATATAATAATTGTTTATTTATATATATACAGGGATGGTAGAAGTAGGTGTGGAATATACTGTGCAGCAAACGCGTGCATAGAACAAGTGATACAGCATGGTGAAGTGGATATTTTTCAAGCTGTTAGAACTGTAAGAAGACATAGGCCTCAACTAATAGAAAATATAGTAAGTAGAGTTGATAATAAATTTATTTGATATTTTATAAGATTGTGTCTTAGTATGGAGTAGCGTTTGATGATCTAATTTTAAGGAGACTGTATTTTACTTTGTGAATTATGAAGTTTTGATTTTGAAATGTTAAACAAAAATTTTGCAATTTTCAGACTTGATATAATCTCATTTTTTACATCTATAAATGCTAACTTGAAAACGAATGTCAAATATTTTTAAGTATCACAGTTTCCGCAGAACGGCATTGTTAAATTAAACCGAACACATCGAAATTAATTAAATCGAATAATTGTTTAAGTGATAATTTCAAAAGTCAATAACTCGGAAACGGTTGGTTTGAGGTACATTGTGTGTATTTCGATTGTTGCTTAGAATTGAAGGGAGAATTGAAATATGCAGTAATATACAGGGGGTTCCATTTAAAGAAATAAAACTTTGATGTGCCACGAATGTATGACCGACCCTGTATACTTAAATTTATTGTCCGCTAATAGATATTTAGAAACCCTATAATTTTTGTATTTACATACATACATACCGCCATTACTCGCTGACGAGTATTTGACACGCATCAGAAGATGGTTAGGCAAGGCGTTTTCTTTCATGAGCTTTTCTGTGACTGAAAAGCCCGGTACGTGATGTTATCTCTCTTCCGCACTCCGGACATTCAAAAATCTCATTGCTTTGTTGCCTCTTTACTTTTTGGTTGTCGCTGTTAACTGACTTTACAATTCTTCTCCATTGTGGTCTATTGTGAGCTGCCTCTTCCCACTCATTCTGCTTGTTAATTCCCTTTAAGTTTTCGTGGAAAATATCCTTGAACCTTTTGAGTTGTCCACCCGGACTCCTCTTACCGTCTACAAGCTCACCATAAAGCAGAGATTTTGGTATTCGGTTTTCTTGCGTTCTGCATACGTGACCAGCCCATCTTAAGCGGGACTTTGTAATAATGACTTCAATACTCTCGCAGTTAGCTTTTTCAAGGACCGATACGTTTGAGACATGATGGAACCATTTTATTCTTAAGAGTTGTCTAAGATGTCTCTGTTGTAACTTGTTTAATGCGTTCATGTGTCGGCGGTACGGCATCCAGGTTTCGCTTCCATATAACAGGGTGAGAATTATTATCGCAAGTTTCGTTTTTGTGCTCAAGTCATTGTAGAAAACCCTGTCTTTTAATTTCCAGAATGCTCTTTAGGCGCTGCTAATCCTATGCTGAATTTCAGAGTCGATATTGGCCTTTTCCGAAATCAAACTGCCGAGGTAATTGAATTCGGCTACATATTCCAACAGCTCATCTCCGATTTTTATAGCATTGTTGTGATCATCCGGGGGAGTGCACATGATTTTAGTTTTATCGATGTTCAGCTTAAGTCCCAAGGCCTCGTATGCCCATGTATATGTGTTCAACATTTCTTGCAATTGCTGTAACGTATTTGCAACTAGAGCACAGTCATCAGCATATTGAAGTTCTGTGATGAATTTTGTACGTGTTTTTGCCCTGAGCCTTTTTATGTTGAACAGATCGCCGTCGTATCTGTATCGAATGCCCAAACCTCTCTCCTGCAGTTTGCTGTCCACTATAATATAAAGCGCTGCCATGAACATATTGAATAGGAGAGGCGACAAGACACATCCCTGCCTAACGCCTGTGTTTGTTAGGAAGGGATCGCTCAGATGATCCATGATATGACACTCTTGATTTGTTGTTGTTATGGAGGCTTTTACACACTGTAAGAAATTTGATGGGTACTCCGAACTTTTTCATAATTGCCCAAAGTGCATCTCTGTTCACAGAGTTGAAGGCTTTTGCTAGATCGATGAATGCAACGTAAACTTTAAACTGCTGCTCTTTTACTTTTTCCTGTAGTTGCCGGATGGAGAATATGGAATCGACGGTACCGCGGTTGGTGCGAAAACCCGTTTGCGATTCTGGGAGAATTTTTTCTATATGTGGGTGCAGGCGGTTTGACATAATTTTAGCAAGAATTTTTCCTCCGATAGCCAGTAGTGAAATTTCTCGGTAGTTTTCGCAGTCTGATGCACTTCCTTTGTTCACTATATTCACTATATTCGCGTTGCAAAAGTCCTGAGGTACCTCTCCGCTTTCCCATATGACATCAAAGAGAGCCTTAAGATGACCAATAAGTTCTTTACTTGCACACTTATAGATTTCCGCAGGAATCGCGTCACAGCCAGCTGATTTGTTGTTTTTAAGCTGTTTTATGGAGTCCTTTATTTCCTGTTCTGTTATTCGAATGTCTAATACATCGAGGCTGTTATACTGAGGTATTATGTTGAGTGCTTCCATATTGGGGTTGTTTTCATGGTTAAGAATATGACTGTAATGCTCTTTCCAGCGATTTCTGATTTGCTCTTCCTCTTTTAGAAGTTCGCCATTTTGTGTCATGATTGGGCATCTTGCCTTCTTAATTTTACCGTATAATTAATATACTATAATTACCGTATACTTCTTTTACAGCCTCGAAGAATTTACGATAGTCGTGATGCGTGGCATACTCCTGAATCTGACTAGCTTTTTGCGACCACCAGTTATTCTTTAGTTGGCGCAGGTTTCTTCGGAGCGTGTTGTTGGCTGCCTTAAAGTTGTCTGCTAGTCTTGGATTGTGTGGATTTGCAGTGACGGCTTGATGTGCTCTTGATTTTCGTTAAACCAGTCTGGTTGTTTCTTTTTGTTGGATTTTCCCAGTATTGCTTCGTTGGTTTTGTAAATCGCATCTCTTAGTTGTGTCCAGCCATGTTCAGCTTCCACGATTGAGATTGAAGTTATCGGTGGAAGTTTTTGCGGTACCTCTTATATTTCACCTAATAATTATTAGGTAAATTAATAATTAATCGACCGTTCCGATACATATCAGCGACCCTGTATAGGGCCTGTCATTACTTTGTTTCGCTAGGGCTTCTATTATTGCCCTAGGATATATTGTGTTAAAATTTTTTGTAATGCTGTAATATTGTTTTACACTCTCCAAAATATCCTATATGGGTATTTCGCCATTGCAAGAAAATCTACAAAATAAAATATTTCTTTTTTGTAAACACTTCTGCGTTAATCCAAACGGAAACTAGTTGTCAGAAGTTAGATTTACAGATATACAAATTTGCCTAACGAACAAAAAGATGCTTACCGTTTCGGAAAGTTTATCTCTTTCCGTCGTCGGAAGCAAAAAAAATACAAAAAATAAAGAAAAAAACGATTTAAAATATTTACTATTCGATACTATTCGAGAACACTTTACTTTTTTTAAAACAGATACGTCTCCAAAAACCGTTGACGTTCTGTTAAAATGACATTATATCAAGTTAAACTTCAAAATTAACAATTACTACCTGATAACAATTACTTAATAAGGTAAAACCAAAAAGCCCCAAACTTTCTGTACGATTATTTTTAAATTTTACGTATGTTATGTTTATTTATGTTATTTCTTTAAAATCAAAGAAGCGATTGCCATACATTACTAACATCTACAGATGCATGAGCAATACATTAATTTTTATTAGATTGAATTAAAAAAGCCTCTTTTATCTTTCTCTTAGAGGCTATCGCTTCTTTCATTATAATTTTGGCGTTATTAAAATTTATTCTGTGCCCTGTGTCCCTTGAATGCTGACAAATCTTAGATTTGTGAAAATGTCCCTTTCTTAAAAAATAATCTTTATGTTCTTTAATGCTAACATTTAAGGGTCCAGATGTTTCACCAATGTAAAATTTATCGCATTCACATGGTATTTAGTATATTACATTTTTTGTTTGTTGTTCTGTATTCATTGGTTTAGTATGTGATAAAATGGATCTAAGTGTATTTTGTGTTTTGAAAGATGTTCGTATGTTATATTGTTTTCCTATCCTTCTTATTTTTTTCCGAAACACCAAGTATGTATGGAATTGTAAGTTGTATATGTTGTGTATTGTTATCATTGTGTCTATGATTTGGGGTTTGTATTTCGTAATATTGTTTTTCACTTTAATACAGTGCACTAATAATACATTTTATTATCTCTTTTCAGACTGAATACAAATACTGTTACGATGTCGTCCTCCATTACGTCCTCCATTACCTTAATAAGGATTTAGAAGAGCTTAAGGGAAAAAATAAACATTAGTTATTATGTATAGACAAACATGCCATTGGGAGATATTTTCTTAACTTGATACAGCCGGTATATAACTAAAATAACATTTATATTTATGAAGAAAGAAATTATTGCAAAAAAAGGTCTAAACAATATTTGAATATTAAAATATACAAATTATAAAAAGTTTATGTTGTTTTGAGAGAAGGAATATACTCCTAAAAGTATACAAACATTAGTGTACTACATTATATATAATAATACACATTTTCATTAAAACGTATACATATATACAGGGTGTCCTAGAATTAAGTGCAAGTATTTTAACTGGTAGTGTAGTTCGACCTCAGAAACACGCCTATGAGTTTTTTTCGCGAAAACTCGGTATTTTTTGAAAAAAATTTTGGAATTTTTTTTTAGTTTTTAGTTAAAAAACATAATTTCTTGATAATATGGCAACATAGGTAGTAGAGTAAATTTACAAGAAAGAAAACCCAGAAAAGATCCAGTGGGTCTCAAAATTTTAGCAAAAAATCATTTTTTTAAATTTTCAAAGTAAAATAACTCCGTTATTTTGGACTTATTTGAAAAACGATAAAGAGAAAATATGTTTCTTTTATCGAAATCTACCACCTCTTAAAATACTTGCTCTTATTTCTGGGATACCCTGTATATGACGATCATACTAAATAAACTTCTAGTCACGTGATTAAGCTTAATCGGCACAGCGTTGCCCAAGTTTACATATTTTCTTTTAATCAATATATTTTAGGAAACAAAAATAAATTAATTTTAAATAAATAAACAGTTATTATTTACATTAACAAAACTCACCTCCTTAACAGCACTTAAGGACCGGTACTACCGTTTTCGGTTCAAAATATTCTAATAAGGTTACGATGACCTTTTTGTAACGACTATTAAGCTGTCTTGTACGATTTCGCATTAAAAGAGGTTCTAAAAAGAACAATGTTCGACTGCAAGGTCTGCTAGTAAATTTTTTTAATCTTAAAATATCACAACACCATTCATTTAAACCAAAAACTCGCAATACAAAACTAAAGTGTCAAAACACATGACAATGTTAGGAAATAAATAAATTAATGTGGCAACTTGGCATTTTTTTCAGCAGAGCTACCACCTGAATCCGCAGCGAAAATTTAAATTCCAGTTAGTCAGCCCGGCGCCGAATTACGTAACAATGAATTTAAAAATCGCGCACTCGATTACGTAACTGGAAGTTTAATTGGTATCGCTTATAGTTTTCTATTTCTATAAGCAAGCTTATATGATTTTTCATATGTTTATGTATTTATTAAGAAACAATATTTTTTTTCTATGGCACTTGATCTGATCATTATTACTTAACTTAACCAGTGGCGCGCGGTCCATGGAGTAAGGCCAATAGTAACCTGGCAACAAACAAAGTTCCTACCAGCAGCGTTCATACAAATATACTTGAATATTAATCGTTTTAAAATAGGACAAAATATCCTAAATTCTGTAAGAAGTAATAGATCAAGAAAATAGGTCTTCAAATACGAAGCTTTAGTAAAAACTTGAATTTTTGACATAATTTACTTTAAAAGATCTAAAAACGAATTGTGATTTTTTTTTTAAATTTATCCCCGAGAAGGGATGAAATAATAGTTATTTTTTATACAAGACGATAAAATAGTGTTTTATCGTCGACCGAAAAGATTAAATCACGAGCGATGAAATCGCGAGAGAGAAATTATCATCAGAGTAGAAAAAATATTGTGCTGGGTTGGCGTTGGTTTATATGTAATTTGACAAATAAATAAAAAATAAAGCTGTCTCATGGCTGTCTCTTTAGTTGTCAGTTTTAAGTCAATATTTTTTAATTCTTTTTCCTGTCGATTGCTGATTGAATTGGAGCCCGAAATAGCTCAAAACGAAATAATAATAATAAGCTTTATTCATAACTATATGGAGATACATTATGAAAGGGCGAAAGTGCAGTCTTGCTATTAAATCTAACCAGACTGTTTTTACACTCAACCCAAAAAAACAACAAAAAATATATACATATATACATATACACACGCCTTATCACTAAAAATCTAAATCAAAATAGTTATTAAATTATTTTCTAGCATTACCAAAATCTGCTAAACAAAAATTATATTTTTTTTCGACATTAATGTAATAACATTGCTTAATATTTCTAGTAATATAATTATACTTAATCCAACAATAGAATTTGCTATCAATCCTACCAATATCTAATTAAACAGTTAAACAAGATATATCCATAATAAGGGCTAGTTTATTTGTGAGAGATGCTCTTTTAATAATCTTCTGAACACATATAGTGACGTTGCAGATGTTATCGTACGAGGTAATGAGTTAAATATCTTGACTATATTATATGAGAAGGAACGCTTGAAAATTGCCAGTCTATAGGTAGGAGAAGTGAGATTACCTTTAAATCTTAAGTTTAGGTTGTGCACATCTTCTCTAAAAGATATTTTCTGGTAGAGGTATTTAGGATGCTTAGAATATATTAATTTATAAAATAATAAGGAGGAATGCATAAAACACCTTGTTTTCATATCAAGCCATCCTACTTCTTTTAGCTTATACGAAACGGGTTGTTGTCTTTTAATTCCGTAAGTAAAACGTAAACTATATTTTTGGATTTATTGTATCCGTCCCGAATCAAAAGCGGTAAGGCAAGGTCCATAAACTACATTGCAATAATTAAACTTTGATAAAACTAGAGTATTACACAACAGTAGTTTGCTTTTTTGGTCTAATATATCTTTTGAGTTGTTTAAGATTTTAAGATTAGTTATTGCCTTCCTAATGCTACCCGTTACATGTGACTGAAATCTGAGATTGTTATCTAATATCAAGCCAAGATTTTTTGCCTCTGATTTAACTGGTATTGTTACATTGTTAATTTTAATGTCGACCATATTAGTGATATCCTTCCTATATTTTGATGAACCAAAAAGCATGGCCACACATTTATTGGGGTTTAAGGTCAATGAATGATCCTGAGAAATTCCATAAATATTCTTAAGATCATAGTTAATTTTGTCACAACTTTCTTTAACTAAGTGTTTCGGGAAGGAGTAAAATAGTTGAAAATCATCGGCATACATTTGTGACTTACAATAAGTTAGAAATTTAGGAAAAATTGCTGTATAAATGTTATATAATATAAGACCCAAAATTGACCCTTGTGGCACTCCTCGAGTTAGAGTGCGGCATGAGGATGACTGATTTTCCAGTTTAACAAATTGTTTTCTGTTATTGAGGTACTATCTAAAAAAATCCACAGCTGAACTAGTTAACTCAATATGTTCTAGAATCTTAGTTAATGCTTTGTGATTCAGAGCATCAAAAGCTTTACTATAATCTAGTAATACAAGTAAAGTAAATTTGTCTTCGTTTATTGATCTAAATATATGATCTGTAACATTTAATAAAGCGGTAGTACAGCTATGTCCTACCCGAAATCCGGACTGTGTATCTGGCAGTATATTATTGTTTTCAATGTGATTGACCAATTGAATTTTAATTACATTTTCTAATATTTTTGATAACACAGGCAATATACTAACCGGTCGAAGGTCGGCATAGGACGAAGGGTTTATGACCTTAGGGTGAGGAATAACCTGAGCAACTTTCCAACTCGCGGGAAATACAGAATTTCTTAGGCAAAAGTTAATTATATGGCAAATATATTTTAGTATAAATGGACAGCACAGCACTGAAAAGTAAATTACCAACATATATTCAGGCTGAGAAGACAAACGCCATATCCAAACTACTTCCATTTAAATCCCGAATAACTTATGAAAAGGAATACACAAATGTTCAAAAATGGAAGCTATTAAAAAACGTGAGAGAAGAAATAACATTTTTAACCTATCCTCGCTGTTAATGTATCATTTAATCTACCCTTGCGGTTAAAGAACTATTTTATCTACTATTTTTGATAGATATAAGGCAATTTTAACAGTTGCTGGAAAAATTAAATAAAGTATTTTTTTCGAATATATCAAAAATTCAATTATTACCAAAACTTCGTATTTCAATGTCTATTTTCTTGGACTAAAATTTCTACAGGGTGTTCCTCAATTCTTGGATTCTAAGAAAAAAAAATCATATGAATATATCTCCTAAACCTCTAAACTTTTCAGAAACAGGGTGGTAAAATTTTCTATTTTTTTTTTTTCAAAATATCTCTGATTGTATATTTGACACACGTTTTTCATGCATCAAAATACTAATTTAGATATACAAAAAAAATTGTTTTATTTCTTAATTTCTGTCCTGTTTCGTCCAATCTGAACTGACGAGAGCAGTGAATATCAAACGAGGAGTTAGACAGGGATGTGTTCTTTCATCACTCCTTTTCAATGTCTACTCAGAGGAAATCTTTAACAAAGCCCTCGAAAATGATGCTGGTGGAATACTAGTTAACGGCATACCACTGAACAATTTGCGCTACGCGGACGATACAGTCCTTCTCGCTGAAAACATGCAAGACCTTCAGAATATGTTAAATAACGTCATCACAACTAGTCGAGAATATGGTCTGACACTCAATGTTAAGAAGACCAAATACATGATTGCCACTAAAACTGGAGTGCCCAATGAACATCTTTACGCGGAAGGCGAGGAGCTCGAAAGAGTAGAGAGGTATGACTACCTGGGTACAAGTGTCGACTGCACCGTGGATTATTGTTCAGAAATAAAGATTCGCATTGAAAAGGCCCGTGCATCCTTTGTGAAGATTAAGAAGCTGCTCTGTAGCCGCGGTTTGAGCCTAGATCTGAGAACTCGTATGCTCAAATGTTATGTATTTCCAGTCCTTTTGTATGGTATGGAAGCTTGGACCCTCAACGAGCTTTGCGAGCGGAAACTGGAGGCCTTCGAGATGTGGACATACCGTAGGTTATTGAGAATACCATGGACAGAACATGTAACCAACGTGGAGAAGAATGGGGAACGGCGTAGAGATACTCAAGGAAGTAAAAAAAAGAAAATTGCAATATCTCGGCCCTATCATGAGAGGTCCCAGGTATGAGATTTTGCAACTCATAATTCAGGGAAACATTGCAGGAAAAAGATCTGTTGGAAGGAGAAAAATATCCTGGCTCAGAAACCTGCGAAAATGGTTTAATGTCACGTCATCTGACCTATTTAGGGCCGCAGCTTCCAAGGTCAAAATAGCAATGATGATAGCCAACCTCCGATATGGAGACGGTACATAAAGAAGAAGAAGTACGTGTGTCAAGTTTCATAAGGATATCTATAATAACATCAAAAAGAAGTTTTTTTTAGAAAATTTTACCATCCTGTATCTCA